AATAGTTTTAAATCTATCAATCTATATATTTATATATTCTAAATTAATAATATTTGTATAAAATCAATTTATATATTTTATCTTTTTCAGAACATTTAATAATAAGGTTTTTATAATAGAATTTTAATATTTTAGTTTTTATTTTATTATAATTAAGTATATAAAATTGATTTTAATATTTTAAATATAAATTAATATATTTGTAGTTAGTTAAGATAATATTAGAATATTTAAAATAAATTAAAATTTATTATTTTAAAAATGAATTTTATTGAACAGTAATTATGATATTAATAGTAAATAAATTAATTTATTAATAATAAAATATTTAACAAAATATATTTAATATTAATTATTAATATTTAGTTTTAGATTAATAATAATTTTGAATAATAGACTTTTAGATTTTAAAATAGTCTAATTCTAATAGAAGAATTTTTGATTTTTTTTTAAATAAATTTTTTAATCTTTTAATTAGTATATTGAATTTAATATTTAATTTTTTAAAATAATAGTATATTTAGAAATTGAATTTTAATAAAAATTTAAATTAATAAATTTATTAATAATTTAATAATTTAATTAATATAAAATATTCTAGAATTTAATAGTTAGTAATCATTTTTTTAAATAATAGAATTCTTTTTAATTTAAAATATTATTTTTTAAAATAATAATTAATAATTAATGGTTTTTATTCTAGATTTTATAATCATGTTTTATTATAGAATATTTTTTTTAAAAAAATATAATAGAATATAGTATATTTTTACTACTATATTATAAGTATATTCTAATATATATATAATTAAAAATATTAATTTTCAAAATTATATTTTTTATTTAATTAAAAGATTTTAATATTAGAATACTTATAAAAATAGTTTTTAATTGTTTTAACATTTTTTAAAAAATTAATATTTAGATAAAATTAATATTGTTTTTAATTAGATTAATTAATAGTTTAATAATTTTAAAAAATTATAGATAAATTAATAATAAAAGTTTTTAAAATTAATAAAAATTTAAATATTAATTAAATAAATTTAAATTTTTTGCTTAATATTTATTTTTATTTTATTAAAATCTATTTAGAAACTATTCCTATCTATAATCAATTTTAAGAATTTTATTTTATATATAAAGACTTTATATTTACTAAATTTAATATAAAATTTTATTGTTTATAGATATTTTAATATTTGTTAAATATAATAGATATATTTAATATAGATTTAATTAGGCCTGGACAAATCCCGCGGTACCGTCCCGCGGGACTGCAAACACTGCAAACATACAAATTTTAAAATACACTGTTTGAACCCTGTATTTAGACCTTATATATAAGTAATATTTTATTTTTTTAATAGATTTATAATAGATTTAAATCACTATTTATAAATTACCATTTATAATTTGACTATATAGTTTATTTATAAATTCAAATAAATTACAGATGTTCTGTGGAAATTGGAAGAATGTGGTGTTGAGAGTGAACATATATTTCTGCATTCAAACATTGCATTTTCTTTTTTGAAAATTCCACATTTTCCTACGGTCGGAATTAGTTCAAAATTTGCATGATTATTTCTAACTATCTATTTTATAACTATGCAAAATTTGAACGAATTCCGACCATAGGAAAGTGTAGAATTGAAGATTTTAAATTTTTTGAATGTCTGATGTTCCGTTCCGAAGTTGAACCCCCCTATTCGGAAGCCCCTATTCGGAGGTGGAAATATCGATCAAAATCCCATGCAGCCCTTCAATCTTTGATTCTTTAATAAAATCTTTTCCTACGGTCGCATAGTATTCAAATTTAAAATATATGATACTGAGCATAAGATCTAGATATCTTGAAATTTTTATTAAAATTGATCTATTGGAAGCTCTAATACAGCCATTACAGACATTATTATTCATCAGGATTATGCATCCCAAATAGGAAATTGAGGCTAAAATATGCATTCAACGATACTAACGAGAGTATTGTTAGTATCGCGAGATCTTGCCGAGACGAGACGGGAACGATACCAGATTTTGGCAAAATCTCGCGATACTGACGATACCGAGCACCGATACCAAAAATCCCCAGGTCTCGCGAGACTTGTCCAGGCCTAAATAGATTTATTGGATTTTTAATAAAAATAATAATAACTATAAATATAAATTAAATTATTATAATAAATTAGATAATAGAAAAAATAAAAATAAAAATAGACTTTAAAACTGATTTTAAGAATTAAAGATTTTTTATATTAATTAATAAAACAATATTTAGATAATAATAATAATAATAGTTTTTAAAATTTTATAAATAATTAATAAATATATAGTATTTATATAATAGATTTTTAGAATATATTAATATTTTATAGAATTTTTTATTATTAGTTTATTTTAAGATTATAAACAATATATTTTTATTTTTATTTTTTTTTAATATTAATTATTAAAATTTAATAAAAAAAATATTAAACTTATAATAAATCTATTTTAAATAAAAGAATTTGATATAAATATTAACTATAAGATTTAGATTTTTAAAAATATATTCTAAAATTTCTAATATTTTAATATAGTTTTTTTAAAGTATAGATTTTTTTATATAAATACAATAAAATCTAAGTATAAAAAATTCTACTTAATCAATTAATTATATAAATAATATAATTTCTTTTAATAAAAAATTAATTAGAATTTATATTTATTTTCTAAATAATTTAAAAAATAATTTTTTTTTAGATTATTTTATTAAGGGGACTAGTGCTGCCACCCCCCCTTTGCTTAGATCCACCCCCCTTTGTCTTGCTTCCACCTCCCCCTAACCCTTTTGGACTAGCGCCATTATTATTCTACCGGCTTTTATTTTTACATACAGAACTACACCATCCGACTGCTAATTTGAAATTATTTGATACTGAGTATTACCCTTATGTATTGAATGAGCCTATATATTAGATAAGCCTATGCTTCATCACCGAATTTATTATCTGACGATATATTTGGGTTGTAAAGGTCCACTAGTGCGATACCGAGGGCTATATTGAGAATTTGGGAGGATGTAGGATGATAGACCGTAGGAGGATTAAAAGTGAGGGTTGAAAGTATGGGGAGTATGAGAAGACTTGGGAGTGGAAGGGATTCATAACTACCTACATGATGCTACAGTAGTGACTTCTTTTTACTAAGGATTTATATACAAATCGAGGTACCATGGGTGTTGACCTTGTGTCAAGCGGGAAACCGAGTATAAAAAGCAAAGGCGGTGTAGAAGGCGGAGGGCAGGCAGGCACTATACTAGTCCAAAAGGGGTAAGGGGGGGTGGAAGCAAGACAAAGGGGGGTGGATCTAAGCAATGGGGGGTGGCAGCACTAGTCCCCTTTATTAATTAATAAATTTATTTAAAAAAAAATATAAATAAATATATTAATAAATAATAAAAACATTTTTATTAAAATAATTTTATAGATCTTAATAAAAAATATAATAAAAATAAAAAATAAAAATAAATTAATAATGAAAATATTGATAATATAAATATTAATTAATTATTATTATAATTTTTTTATATAATTCTTTTTTAACTCAAAATTTTTAATTACAACTTAAGAACTTTTTATTAAAATTTAATAAAAATTTAATAACATTAAATAATTATTAAATAAAAATCTTATAGATTTTTCAATTTATAATATTTTTTATAATAATAACTATAAAAATATAAATTTAAATAATATAATTAATCTATATTTAAAAAAATTTAAAAATAAGCCAATTAATTTTTAGTGAAAAAAGAACTATATAATATTAAAAAATACAATAGGATTAGATTTGTATAAAACTAAAAGCAGATATAAACAAACAGATAAACAGATAGACAGACAGATAGCAGGATATAGAATAGAGACAGAATGTAGCTCGAAGAGCTACAGCAGGATCAGGAACAGTACGGCTTAAATACAGGAACAGAGGCGGACATTTATGGCAGAATCCAGACTAAGGAGTGCTGCGGCTTCACACTGGAACATATACATAGCACTAAGAAGAAATCACTACGAAGCAAATCAAGTATCCAAAACGTGTAGAGAGGTTGATTACTCGACCAAGTATTGATCAGCAGCGTCAGGTCACAGGTGACCCTGAGTGAATTGTGGACTTCCTGATTAGGAAGGTATTCTGTCAATCAAAGATTCGAGAAATTCGCATGTATAATAATCCAGATGTGTAGTAAAATTTGGCTGTCAGACTTGTATTACAGAAGTGGGATCTTACTGTAGTACTAATCACCTAGCTCGGGCGTAGTGATTAGCCGCGGAAGCTGACGGCGCACGGAGTCGTCGTCAGCTGCGGTGATTGGCGGTCGAATCGGTCGCTAGTTCGACCGCCGGGAACCCAGGTCAGCGAGTTTCCGATGCAGTTCAAAAAACAATAAAGAAAGTTCGCAGGACACTACCTGAAGGTCTCTGGGCTGAAAGCAACATGCTACCAGTCTGTTACATAAAGACGAAGGCTGAAGAGAAGATGATGACATTGCTAGGTAACTAGCTGTGTCTAACACTAGTGGTCAACTTTAGAAGTGATCCTGACATCTTCTGCCTCTTTTGTTTCTGCATTATCACTACTATGGGCCAACTCAATAGGATTCAATTTGTCTCTACAGCTTTTAGAACATAGTTAATGTTGAGGAATTTGGGATATATACAAAAGCGAATGTGGAGAGAGATTCCAGATACCCGGAGATCTATATCAGTTTCTATGTAAGAGATCTATGAGAGGACAATTGAGATTCAAAGGTGGAGAGACCCTTGGAAGGTCTATATATTGTAATAGCATGGGGTCTACTTTTCCAATCCTGCACGCCAAGTTGTAGTGAATATAATTATTCTGTAGGATATTTCAATTCATCAAAAATAGAACATTAAAATTATGCTCATAGAGCGTATCCCAGACTTCACATTCTCTAGCTATCATACAAGGATATCCGCGCATAACATAAGTCAGCGCAGGAGGTTGAAGAATATTGTGACACGTTCATACTCTACATCAGCGCCGGGCGGGCCAGTCCGGGGAACGCCCTTGGCTGGTCCCACTATGGCCTCCAAGTCCACCTTGGTCATGCCTGGGTGCAGTCGTATATCATATGCGGGTGCAGTCGCATCGCCAGATGAGTGAAGGCGCTGCATACCTGTTAGAGCAACTATCTTCACCTGTCGTTGGCTCGTGCTGGCCGCCAAGCGAGGCTTGAGGGTCAGTAGATTATGGGACGGGGGAAGATGGATTGTAATGGTTTGTTGTGACACAAGCGACGAGGGTGGAATGTCCAGGCAGAAGTCAGGTTGCAATGATAAAGAAGCATGTGTCGCAATTCGAACATTACGAATCAGAGCCGTGCTTGAATCTAGAACCAATGTTAGCAGAAACCCCCAAAGTGTACCCGTGGACAAAGAAAGACGAACCTTGACCCGGTCGCCTTAAGACAGAATCCATCGGCGATGGTCCCGTGTGTTGGTATGATATATTGGCTGGCAACGGGTTAGTGAAAAAGAGCTGAAAGTGAGCAATGTTTGTGTTCTTTATATTTGAGGCCCTTTTCAATGTGCTACAAAGATGATTGAGAAAGCAACTTACGCGAAGAAAGGTCGTGGGCATTGTCCGCCATGGTGCCAAAAATTGCATGCGAAGGGGCCTGCGATGTAGACATCGACATGGGCGGTTCATTCTTTACCAAGCCGGATAGCCCGCGTGCGCCCACCGAGGGATTTAGTTGATCGGAGGTAGATGTGGTCGCAACGCTTGGCCCGGGGCTGTCGAGAGTCTTCAGAGACCGTGTCCGAGGAGACGTACTGACATTCTGCCCAGCTGATCCACTGGATGTCCCTTGATGTGGGCGTGAGGATTCTTGGTTGGCCATGATATTCGCTGACTGGCCGTTGGGTTGCGTTATTGTATTAGAGCTCTCAGGCATTCTCACGGTCGACTCTCCCGCTACTGGGGGCCCAGATGTGCTCATCTTCAGTTTAATGCGAGGCATCTCAAGAGTGTCATCTGTCTGGGGATTTGGAACAAGCTTCTTGGCTTCTGCAACTCGTTGCCCAAAGTAACTCTGAGATTCCACGTCAGCAGACCAATGGAGCACGAAGACGATGCACAAACTTACCTCTAAGATCCCCGCGAGAGCCGAGATCTCACTGTCGTCTTCATTGTACTCCCTGGCATTTCGCCAAATATAGCTGACCTCTTCCTCAAAGGATTGCCACGTGGGGTATGCAGTTGTCTTGGACGTGTTCTTCCGGCTATCGGTGCCACGGACTTTCTTTTGGATACTCCGCAACGAAACGGGGTGCTGAATGAGCTCGTAATAGTCTCGGTATAGGGTTCGGTCCGGTTTCCCGATGAACGGATAAGCTACCTCTTGACCACTATCACGAATCAGCGCTATACATAAGCAAAGTTGAATGGCGAGACCCACTCATCGTCCTGAAGCCTGGTCAACTCGGACATGATCTTGTCTTGCGCGCTTTGTAAACTGTCGCCCTCGAAGTCTACTTCGGACTCCTGGGTTTCTGGGGCTTCATCTTCATCGGAATCCACGTGGGAAGATGCGCGACTGGACATCTCCACAAGGTTGTCCTCCTGTTGTCCGTTGATTAGCTCTCGAATGAGCAGTCTCGGGGTTGTACGCGGGCGCAATATCGAAAATGGGTAAACACATGATCCTGCATTGGTACCAATGCACTACCTGAGAGACAGGAAATGTAGACTTACGGAGAACTTTTGACGTTTGGCCCGGGATCTGACATCTGGGGAAGCTGCAGCAGCCGATCGCCGTTTGGAGCTCATCGTGCGTTACGAGTCAATTGGAGTCAATTCGGAGATTATGTCCAAGGCTGAGCGACTAGATCAGTCCAAGAGATTCAGATATTGGAAAGAAATAGATCAGCACGAAGTGTAAGAAGTGTACGAAGTGTACAGAGTAAAGTAGGGGAACAGGGGAGTATAGGAGCTGACAGTTCTACGCGTTTGATGCGGTCATCCCGCGTTAGGTAATGTACCTGTTACCGGTATTGTACGATCCACCACCGAGGTATGGAGTACATTGGGGACAATAGTGAATGGAAGCTCAATACAGTCCGGTAATACCATTACTGTGCCTCCCTGTGCTGACATAAGCCGGGTAATCGACACCTCAGGCAACCACAAATCACCGGTCCCCCACTATTTTCCCGAGTCCCGCCAAACACTCCGATGCTATTCCCGCGTTCTCAAGGTCACCTTTCTCTCTTGACCTTCAATCACTCGTGCAGAGCTCTCACTCTCCTCACTACTCACCATAATTGCGGTCAGTCGGATATCTACTTCACCTGGATCGGATTGGAATCGGATTTACTAACAGTCGAATCCTTCAGACACCAGTCGCCTCTACTCACAATGGATATCGACCCTGCTCGTCGCAACAAGAAGCCTCGTCTCCTGATGGAGAATGAGCGCGAAAAGCTTGACGAGTTTGTGGATTCCATTCACTACTCGGCACGGTGAGAGCGCAGTGACTTTCAAGTTAGATCTCACTAACCGCGTCCAAAAGATACAACGACGACAAATTCGAATATCGCCACGTGCAGCTCCCTAAGAATATGCTGAAGAAGATCCCCACAGAATACTTCGACAGCGCCAAGGGTACTCTGAAACTGCTCTGGGAGGAGGAATGGCGCGCGCTTGGCATTACACAGGTATGCGGGAGATCTGATGTGATGGTACAGATCAAGACTGACAAGAGCGCAGAGTTTAGGATGGGAGCATTACGAGGTGCATGAGCCCGAGCCTCACATTCTACTGTTCAAGTAAGTACACCTGGAACTGGGCTCGTTCGACGGTTCGGCTGACACGCATCTCACAGGCGCCCTCTGAATTACCAGCCCCCACTGCAGCAGTAAACTGCGTGTTGAATGGTGTCATCCCCAGAGGTCCAAAATAATCGAGGAGATATCCCTTTCGTGGTCATTGATGGCACACACGTTCACAATATTGCTCACTAAGGACCACAAAAGCTTCCTAATTGAAGTGGAATGAGACAAAGTTTCGTTATCTCTTTTCCCACCATTCCATTGACTTGCTAGATCCAGGCTATCTCTATGTGCCCCAGCCCCCTCATCGAAATACTAGCCTTGATCCGTTCGCAGGTGCCTGGGTGATTCTTGGACATGGCTATCAGATCACGTTTTTGGCCAACCATTCTTCCCACTGGGCGGCGGTGAAGCTGCTGCTGATACTGCGTTCTTCCGCTCCCTGGTCTTGGTGTTAGCACCTCGCACTTTTACTCTCTGATGTTTTCTTACATTGAAGAAGACTGTCGGAGAAACGTGAACTCCCACCACTCGGTCCGTCTAGCCGATGTCAGCACCAAACCCCCCAAAAATTGAGCAAAGTAGGCATTCGGAGAACGAGGATATCTGCATACCTTGACCATCCATTTGATGTCATTGGTTACTTGGTTCCCAGCATTTAGTTGCCCATCCTCACCGGGAGTTTCCCTAATGATAAGCAAATCGAGTAACTTATTTCCATCTACTCCAACACTGGCTGCCACCTTTGCTAGTCGTTCGTATGTTTTATTGCGGGTTTCGTTCACCACGCTGATATCAAAGAACTCTGTTTGGCATTTGAACAGGGCGGCGCTGAAATCCCAGAATTTCTCGGGTGCGAGTCTCAGGACGGCCGCTCCGGCCTCGTGGGTCAAGGTGGAAGATGGGTGCCAGGGTTGAATATGCTGTCGAAATACGACCTGCAGTCGTGTGCTATACTGTTGAGTGATCACCGGCTTCAGGGTGTAGAATGTGTTGAACATCTTGGCCGAGAACTGGCAGTTGGGTCAGTTCACCGAGATGAAATTGTTCCAGTATCAAAGTCACTAACTGGGCAAACGTAGTCCAAATCTGGGTCCAGTCAGCGACTCTAAAGCTCTGTGAGGGGAAGAGATGTAGCAGATTCACGTACACAGTTCAAGAGTATGCGATGTTTGGGGCGTAGCACCGGAGAGCTTCAGCCCTGCGAAATGGGGAGGGACAGACATAGTGTATTGAGTAGGAGATATCTGAAGGGTTGGGTGGTTGGAAGATGAAAGTAGAAAGATGAAAGTTGGAGGGGGGGCGGGGGAATTGTGAGACTACACGTCATCCCCTACATCAATAGGAAATCTATATTTTGGGATATATATGTACAGAATCTCTTTCAATTGCCCATTGCCCTCTGTCTTCGCATATTCAGATCTTTGAGCTCCATTTCCACCGTTCGCCATTCCCGTTTCGCCGGATCAAACTCGCCACGAACCTCGAAGCGACAGAACCCATTGGGTCCCTTCAAGCCAACTGGACCTGTGATAAAGAAGGATCCACGACGAGGAGTTCCCGGATCCCGGGCCCGTTCGTTGTTGAGCCGTAGCTTAAACGCTTGCGAGGCCAGGTGTAAGTCCGAACCAGGGCCGAGGTCGGGCAACGGGATCCGTTGTAAAAAGGATATCAGCGCTGAGGGGTGATAATTGGAATTTTCGGTGTTGGGGGGCATGTTTTCTTTGAAACCATCCGTTGAAGTTGGTTGTAACTTCGACTGCTCCTGTTCGCCCTCGAAGCCTTTTCCCTCGTCTGGCGTAATAGAACGGGTGGAGAGCCCCGGGGCATTCTCTGCTCCCGCAGGATTTCTGAAGCGATCCACTTGTCTGGACAGCAGGACAAGGTATGCATCTCGAATCGCAAGGACGACGTGCATCGGTTTCATGAACGTTTGCAGTCGGTCCCCAATCTCAGGGTCCATCGGCCTCGAGACCCAAGATATGCTACCATCCGCTATCTCCAGTCTATTCATGGTTAGTGACCCTTTCAATTAACCAAGCCGGATCAAGCACATACCCTGATCGCACGTATCCAGGTGGAGCGCGGGTTGGAAATTGATGAACCAACCAAAATCCTGTTAGTGCAAGAGGATCCCCGAGGATTTGTGACATCTGATCACCGGCACTCGTGAGGACGATATTGGCGAGTTCATCTATGTGCGTAAGTCCGCGGACTTTACCAAGAACGATGTGTTTGTCTTACCTCTGAGAGCCTGGAGTTTCTTCCGATCCTTGGACAACCTCACAAATTCCTGCCATTCGGGATCTGATGTGGCATAGAGTTCTCCTTTCTGCAACCGAGACCAGGCAAGTGGTATAAATAGCGCATCCTTGTCGATCGATTCTTTTTCAGTGGTCTCGGTGCCCTCGGGCGGTTGACGCGACACCGCTTGTTCGGGGCTGGCTAGAGCGGGGGTATCCTCTTCGTCCTCGTCATCATCGAATTGTACCAATACGAAGGTGCTCCATAGGTGGAATGCGGTGCCGTAGAGCAAACATTTGGAGATGAAGGATCTAAAGAACTGGCATCAGTCTCGTGAAGACCTGCAGCGGCGGGGGAAATGTTAACCTGACCCAAGGTCGCCTGAACCTTACGTGTCGAACATTTGGTGAGAAGTTGGCACGGGTGTGAGTGGAGCGGAGAGGCAGGCGCGCTGGAGGAATTCGAAGCAAAGACTTGAGCCGGAGCATTGGGAAAAGCCAATCCCAGGGATATCTCTTCACTCGCGAATCATCTCAATCTGTAAAGTGACGAGGTCCTGTGCGATGAGTCTCCGGGCTCGATTATGTAACTGCCTCTGGCTTCGGTGGTTCAAGAGGCCAAGCAGAGCGATGCAGGCAAAAGGTGGCACGTTTGATGAGATCTTTGCGCAAAGGGTCTTCCAGGTGAGAAATGATCGGCTCAACTCAAAATGGAAAACAATGCGGAGAAGAGTTCGGAGGCGATGTCTGATGCAAGGCCACGTGATATCTTATCGGAGACCTCGTAGCTCCCCTTCCTCTCAACTCCAATACTCATCTCGGTCAGAACAATTTACTATTCAGGGGAATTCCCGAAAGCAGTTGACACGGCTGCAAGAACAGATTCCTTTGTTCCCTGGATTTCATCCCACTCGGCAAGATGCGTTGGATGTCCACTTTGCTTGCCTTGGCCGCGACAGGCGCATTGCAAGTAAATGCCCAGCATGCCACGATCCTGACATTCCCTTCTAGTTCGGATGGTGCGCTCAAGACATTACCCAAACAACAACTTTTCAAGGAGGAAGCTCGGCTCATCTTGCAGCTTCGCATGCAATCATCCGTGGCATCGGTCCTCGGAGCCGTTGATGCAAATACAGTGAATCATTTGAATCAGTTCGCTGACAGCGACGCTATCCTTTTCGGCGGATATGGTGGCAAGCACTCTACCGGAAAGAGTATTGTGATTCTGGAGGGGGTAGAGCAACATACTGGTAAGTCGGACTGGCATTGAGCTGGTACTCCTAGCTAATTACTCCTTCAGCCTCAGAATTGCAAAGCAGCCAGCCAAACCATATAATCGTTCCTCGGGTTTCCTCCCAATTCATCGATGCGGATCTTTTGGAATCATTCGGTGAAGGCGGGGACCGAGGAGAATATTGTGCATTCAATGACGATGCTGGAGTTGCATCGATGAAGGCCCAGGTAGTCCACTCAGTCCACAATACTTGGGGCCAGTCTCTAACCTACGTTCAATACAATCCTAGAATGCGCAGGAATGTCTTTCTCAGGACCCCATGCTTGCTGGAAAATCTGGCTTATTTGCTCGTGGCTCCCTCGCTGCCATTGACTCGGTGGAAGATTGGACCAGCACAGATAGTCAAACCTCCATTTTGAAGTTGTCTTTCAAGGTAATTGGACTGTTCTACTCATTTGGACAACTAAGTTCTGACTCGACGTCCCCAGTCGCAGGATTCAAGCCACTCCGCTGCTGGTGCCCAGTTGCTCCGGTCTTTGATTGCCCACCTGACTGAGCTATCCGCATCCAGCCAGCGTGAAATCACAGCTGTGATCTTACCACTGGGCTCTAAATCCGCCTCACTTCGCCGAGGCGCAAAGAGCGTTCGATCATCCATTGGTAACCACAATTTTGCCCGGTCCACCCCCGACTCCCCCTTACTATCAAACCTGGCACCGGTTTGCCATTCATCAAACTCCTCGTGCACTGAAGCGACCAGGAATTGCTCTGGACATGGCTCTTGCTACCTGAAGTTCGGAAGCGGGGTGGAAGGCACTACGGGCAATTGCTATGCATGCAAATGCCAACAGACCACTGTGAAGAATAGCGATGGCACCACAAGGTCTGTGCAATGGGGTGGCTCAGCTTGCCAGAAGAAGGACATCAGTTCACCTTTCTTTTTGATTGCGAGTGTCACTCTTTTGGTCATCCTTCTGGTTGGCAGTGCCATTGGCATGCTTTTCAGCATGGGCGCACAGAAGCTGCCCAGTACAATCAGTGCTGGTGTAAGCAACCCTAGAAGTCAGATGTGATACTTCGGAACTACATGGATGTTGATGAGGTTTCTTTCCCCCCTTCTCATGAAGGTTTTGTTTTGTTGCTGCAGTCTAGAAGCATGTCATCTTTTCTCGGCTGCGTAAAGCCTGAATAGTTTCTCTGGAGTATATATGCGTCATGTAGGTTGAAAAATGATATTGCATAGCATGTACAAGATAGTATGTAATTCGTCACGGGGAGAGATGAGCTCCATGAAGCCCACCCGTCCAATAGATAGACAAGAACCCGAAGAGATGTGATGTGTGTAGTAGCACAATATGAAATCGCCCCATGAGGCTATTGAGAACGATGAACAGGGAAAAAAAACGGGGGAAAAAGCCCGAACCGGGGGGAATCTCTGCAACCCCAAACCCCAAAATGAAATAGAAAGCAAGATCGTGATTCATGTACGCCGCAGTCCAAACCAAGCCAGACTCGAAAGAAAAGGAAAAGAATACACAGATAAAGTCGTCAAGAGGAGAAAAGCTGCCAGCATTCCAGATGTGGTCCTAGAATGCGAAAAAAAAGTAGTGGTAAGATTAGGCGAGTCGTGAGTTATGGAAGAGAGGATTGATCATGAGGTCCCTGCTTCCACTTGACGGGGGGTACGCTGGTCTGAAGCAGGAGGGTCTGTAGATGAAACCCCATTATCAGGAGAGTTTTGAGAGGCGGGGAAGAAAGGCCGACGGAGTCGATTTGGGAGGAATCGGGACCAGCCAGATTGGTCTGGGCCCGGGGGATGACTCGGATCCCAAGTCTCATCGCGCCTGCGCAGATGCTGGTCTTGATCGTAGGAAATATCTCTCTCGCTGGAATCAGCTTGTTGTGTTTGAAATATCCGACCCGGAAAAACCATCTGGACTCGGAATCCGTTGCTTCGATTGCCGTGATGGGCGACCCGGGAAGGTCTGAGGATTGCATCGACGGGGCTTGCTGCCATCCTGCGGGCTCGACGTTCAGCGGCCTGTGCTTCGGTCTGCGCACGAGGCTTGGGCACGTAGTAATCCGCCTTGCACAGAGGGCAGCACGCCCGACGGCTCGTGAGCCAGGGATCAACACACGAAGCATGGAACGCATGTCCGCAGGTGAGCCCACGAACATCATCATCGTCTTCAATGACGTCGAGGCAGATGGCGCAAGAGTCCCCAGGATTAGGCAAGAGATCCGCAGGGACCGCGGTTCGAATGTGTTCCTCGTCATCTTCTGGATCGATGTTCATGTTTTCGGTATGCTGCCATTTCTCAGGAATCTCAGTACCGGGGTTGGACTGGGTTGCAGTCATAGCAGGCTCTGAAGGTGGAGGAGCATTTGGTCCCGGAATCTTCAAATGGGAATCATCCAGCGACCCCGTGGAGATAGAGGAGTCCATCTGTCTGTGGTTCGGGGGTTGTGATTCTGTCGTGGAAACATCCACCACCGTTGTCACGGCCTCATGTCCCTCCTTCGGAGTCTGTGGCCGACTGTTAGGAGCCGTGATGCCCCCCTCTGTTGGAAGACCTTGATTGGCACGAGAAGACCTCCACACCTTGTATTTGACCAGGGGAAACCGTCCGTTGACTTCATCCATGGTCATCAACTTTTTCTCCCTTCTTCTCCGGTGCGCCCGTGGCATGGTCGTTAGATCGATAGGTTCTCCGGCTTCATCGGTTGGAGCCAGGCGATTGCGTGCGTTGTAGCGAAAGCAGTATTTCACACCCACGATGATCCTGCGCGGATTGTTAGAAGGCAAGGTTCAGGCAACCACACGGACAATGCAGGCGACATACCAGAGGTTCGTGAACACGACACCAAATCCCAGCGCGACGAAGAACAGCAACGGGGAACTGGTGGCATTATTGGAACCCGACCCCTCTCCGCCGCTCCCAGCAGTGGTTGTCGCGGCACTGATAGCAGTTGATGTCGCGGACATTTTGAATGAGCGATTTCAGTGAACACCCGGGAACGGTTCAGTGGAAGGATGCAGATTGACCATGCCTCGAGATGTACAGGTCCTGCGCGGAGTCCCGATAAGACCAGTCGAGTGTGGCTGGAACCTCAAATCTGAGACCTGTTACAGGGACCGTAAGCAGGGGGCTTCAAAGAGTATTAGAGGTGTATTTTCATCGCCAGTTTGGAGTAGAGGAATGAAGTAGAGTAAACCAGAGAGAGAGAGAGAGAGAGAGAGAGGAAAGGAAAAAAAAAAGGTGACGAAGTGGACCAAGTTCACGATGATCTTAAAGATGCGGAGATGGGTCACGGGACATGAAGTAGAGAAAACAGAACGAGAGAAGAGAGACCCTTTCACAAGCGAGGGAGTCAATGGTGAGACACCACTTGTGTTACGACACACCTATACCGATTATACTGCTATACTGTACTGCTATACAACCAAACGACCAAACAACTAAACAGCTAAATAACTACGAGTATATACTACATTGAGTTCGACAAAGGCGGTGATGAATTGAGATCATCGAGATCTTCAGTGTTGGAACTTCGAAACATCACCTTTTTTCAAAATGACCAACCCTGTCGTCTTCTTCGATATCGCCCTTGGGGGTAAGTTCTCAGATCAACTCCTCTCTGAACGAACTAACTGGTCTAGGGGAGTCCCTCGGCCGGGTCAAAATGGAATTGTTCGCCGATATCACCCCACGAACCGCGGAGAATTTCCGCCAATTCTGCACGGGGGAGACGAAAGGCCCCAAGGGACAACCTCAAGGCTACAAGGGAAGCAAATTCCATCGAGTGGTATGTGCCCAACCCGATGAAGATTGATGCTCGACTGACCGGCACAAAGATCAAGGATTTTATGATCCAAGGTGGTGATTTCATCAATGGTGATGGGACTGGATCCTGTACCATCTATGGCACATCTCAATTTGCCGATGAAAACTTCACTCTGTCTCACGATCGCCCAGGGCTGTTGAGCATGGCAGTATGTTGCACTTCACTTCTCTTGGATCTCGTCGAACCTCTAACCTCGTCAGAACTCTGGCCCGAACACCAATGGCTGTCAATTCTTCATTACTACCACCACTACCCCGTTCTTGAATAACAAGCATGTGGTCTTTGGTCAGGTTATTGATGGCATGGACATCGTCAAAATGCTAGAACACACTCGCACCACGAAAGACAAGCCGAATCAGGATGTCACCATCGTGCAATGCGGAGAAATGTGATGGCGAATTGACGTGATTTACGTATACTGGACAAAGCTAACCCTTCCAGTGCTAGATCAATTTCAGATTGAGCCTCTTAAACTTTTAGGTGTGAGGCAGTGATATCCCAGAGAGAAGAGAAAGAGAAGGAAGAAAAAAAAAGTAGAACATAAAGATGCGGAAAATGTAACTAGAGCTTGAACTTGCTCAGATAGTCAGTGGCCAACGAGAGAGCATCGTCCACCTTATCGGCATTGGTGCCGTTACCAACAGACGTAGGGCCCTTTCCTCCGGCTTTTCCTCCAACTGCACCAGACACGACGGCCGCCCACTCACTGGCCGAAGCACCTTGGTCACTCAGTCCCTATATAACAGTCAGTCTTAATACATCCACGAGGGGACTCATCACTCACCTGAGAGATATAACAGCCGTGGGAGACCCGACCCTGCTCAGAATCCGCGGCCAGAAGATACACACTCTTGCCTTGCAATTTGGACTTGACATGGTTCAGAGATTCACTGACAGCCTTGGAGTTGGCAGTGATGGGGAGCTGGACCACCAGCCACGACTTGTCCTTGTTCTCAGGAGCGTCGAAGTAGGAAGTGATGGTGTCCACAGCCTTCTTGGACTCCAGCTTCTGCTGAGCCTTCTGGCCATCAAGAACCTGCTTGTTGATCTTGGTAAAGCGATCGCGGAGCCGGGCCTTCTCGACCGCAGAAATCGTGAGCTGGTTGAGATCCACCTGAACCTGCTTGGCCTCGCGTTCCTTCTGGGGACCCAGAGGCAAGCTGTTCAGCTGGTCCAGGCGCTGGCTGAATTCTTGAGCGACACGCTGCACCTCATGCGCTTCTTCACCGGTGACGGCGATGATGCGACGGATGCCCTTGGCAATACCGCTCTCCTCCAAGATGATCAAATCCTTGATGTCACCCGTCTTCTGGACGTGGGTTCCACCGCAGAATTCGATGCTGACTTCCTTCCAGCGAGGATCTTTAACGTTCTGGAGAATCTCTTCCAATTCCACGCCGACGGACACAACGCGAACAGGGTCCGGGTAGGTCTCGCCGAACACGGCTCGGACACCAGAGATCTGCTGGGCAGTGGCGAGAGGGAGTTCTTGGGAGTAGACGGCGCAGTTCTGGCGAATATAGTCGGTGGCCTTGGCTTCAATCTTCTCCAGCTCGGCATCGGAGATGGCACTCTTGTGGGAGAAATCAAATCGGAGCTTTTCGGCTGCCACCAGGGAACCCTTCTGATCCACGCCATCACCAAGAATTTCCTTCAGAGCAAAGTTGAGGATATGGGTTCCAGTGTGGTTGTTACGGATCGGCCAGCGGCGGAGCTCGTCATACTCGCAGATCACAGAATCGCCAACCGCGAACGATCCATACTTCATGAAGCCAGTGTGCAAAACATATCCAGCGTAAGATTGGACGTCGCCAACCTCAAGCTCCGCTTGTCCATCAATAATAATCTTACCGGTGTCATTTTCCTGACCACCCTGCTCGGCATAGAAGTTGGTGCTGTCGAGGATGACACCAAGTTGAGCTCCCTCTGGAATTTTATCGGTGCTGCTGTAGAAGTTCTTGCCGTGGTAGATGGCCTTGACATGGGAAGTGATGTTGCCTCGGCCAAACTTAGCGGAGTCATCAGTCTTGAGGACGTCGTTCATTTTCTCCAGGTTACCAAGATCGTGGACGTCGAGCTTGACGGTGTCTTCCGCCGTCTTCTTCTGTCCCTTACTGGCCTCCTTGGCCTTCAGACGGGCCTCTTCGAACTCAACATCGTCGATACAAAGACCACGCTCCTCGGCCATGATCCGAGTGAGATCAACGGGGAAACCAAAGGTATCGTACAGTCGCCAGACATCGGCTCCGTGGAGCTTTTCAGTGCCCTTGACCTTGCATTGTTGGGCGTACTGCTCGAACTGACGCTCACCTCTGTCAAGGGTCTTGGCAAAGGACAGCTCTTCCTCGTCGAGGATCTCGATCACATCTTGCTGCTTGCGCTTGAGTTCAGGGAACATCTCACCCAACTGGTCCACCACGGTGGGCACGAGCTTGGCAAAGAAGTTACCAATGTCCACCTGGAAATACTTGCGGGCATATCGAGCACCGCGACGCAGCACACGACGAATCACGTAGCCACGGCCCTCGTTGTTGGGGATGACTCCGTCCGAGATAGCAAACATCAAAGTACGCACGTGGTCCGCAACGACACGATAGGCGGTGTCGATACCATCGACATCATCGGCACCGAAGTGACCGCGGTATTCCCGCGCACCGGTAGCATTCTGGATCGCCTGGAAGATGGGAGTGAACACATCGGTGTCGTAGTTGGAGGACTTGTCCTGGAGAATGGAAACCAATCTCTCAAAGCCCATTCCGGTGTCCACGTGCTTGTTGGGGAGAGATCGCAGGGAGCTATCCGCCTCGCGGTTGTATTGGATGAAAACGTTGTTCCAGATTTCCAGCACGTTGGGATCGTCTTCGTTCACGAGATGAGCAGCGTTACGTCCACCAATTCGATCGTAGTGGACTTCACTGCAGGGTCCACAGGGACCCTGGTCACCCATTTCCCAGAAATTGTCCTTCATATCTCCGGGCAGAATGTGATCTTCGGGCACACCCACTGCCTTCCACAATTCCTTGGCCTCCAAGTCTGGTTCCAGACCACCGGCCTCGTTGCCCTCAAAGTAAGTGACATAGAGACGGTCCGGGTTCAACCCGTAGACCTCGGTCAACAAGGTCCACGAGTATGTGATAGCCTCTTTCTTGAAGTAGTCGCCGAAACTCCAGTTACCGAGCATTTCGAAGAATGTCTAAGATTGATTAGCCTTCTGGTACGAGTCCATTGAACTCTGGGGATTCTCACGTGGTGGTAGCTGTCCTTGCCCACATCATCCAGATCCTGTACCCCACTAGTCAGTATATTGAACGCCCTTCTCGGCTCGATCTTTCATGACCCACGTTATGCTTTCCACCGGCGCGAAGACACTATAGCCCACCGTTAGTACTGCACCAATTGTGTGTGTGTTTGTGTGGGGTTCGAGTGTCCGATACCTTTTGCGAGTTTGCCGCCCGCTTCAGCTTGCCAAAGTCTGACGAGGGGTCCACGGTGCCTAGGAAAATGGACTTGAACTGGTTCATTCCCGCATTGGTGAACAGGAGCGTCGGATCCGACAAGGGAGCGACGGGTGAAGAGGGCACTATGCGTAGATTGTCAGTTGCATGGTGGGGGTGGAGGGGTTCGAGAGAAATGAGAAGAAAGAGAGGAAAAAAAGAAAAAAAGAAGACTTACCAAAGGTATGGCCATTTTGCTTAAAATAGTCCAAGAAAGTATCACGGACTCGCTGAGCGGACCAATCTGTGGTGGAGGCCATCCTGGTGAAAGGGTTGGAAGAGGGAACAAAGCGAGAGAATGTTCTGGGGTTGCAAAAGATATGAGTCAAGGCCCCGTTCCTCACAGGAACCCGCATCGAGAGAGAACCACAACAACCCCCCTCTCAGATATGACCTTTGCCCTCTTCTCGACTTTCTTTTTCAATTTGTGAATGGCGCGCGATGAAGAAATTCACTACGGGAAGAAGCGCCCGGCTCCAGACCCCGATGCGCAACCACTTGCCAAGCGATTTGGTCGACTGCGAATAGGTATGTCTCCGAGAGTGACAGATTGAGATGGAAGCGAGAATTGGGCTTGGGCTTGGACTTGGACTTGGACTTGGAAATGGAATTGGGAATGCTCCAGACTGACCTTGGAGAAGATAATAGTGTGCCAATCTCCGCTCGGGCCAAACATCCCTATCAACCCGATACGATGCTGTTGGATGACACGCAGCACACCACATACATTCACAACTTGGACCAAGAATTGGCGGAAGTGGACACCCCTGGTCTGGTCTTTGCTCCTTTTGCTGAGAAGGTGTTATCGGTTCCTCACTCGGTGCTCTACACGAAGCCCTCGGGAACCGAATTGGTTCTCTATACAGAACCTACTTCCTTGACTGTCCCCCAAGACAAAGACCATGTACGCAAGGCTATTTTGGAGTCTCGCGCCAGAGCCCGAGAGCGTACCGCACAAGCCTCTGAGCCTCAGTTGAAGGTCCCTACTGACTCTTTGGCTACGGATGCTACGAATGAAACGAATGATTACGATCCGATGGATATTGACGAATAGGGGGCGTGTAGGGGTAGGGGAATGTAGTGAATAGAGTAATACTTGTTAGACCAGTGTCTGAATGTCTGAATGTCTGAATGTTTGAATGTTTGAATATCTGAACGTTCTGAGAATGTCCGTAGAGAGTATAGAGAGTATAGAGAGGTCACCTGACTCACCGCCCTCGAAAATTCTGTGTGGCACTCGATTAAATATGCACTCCCGTTTCGATCGAAAAATTTCCTCTTTCCCCCACCATCCCTCCAAAACCCTCCCTTCCATTCCTATACCAATTATCACAATGGCCGACATTGAGGTCTTCGACGGTGCCGTCGGTATCGATCTGGGTATGCTGGATTTACTTCATTTTCAAAAACGCACAGCTGATTAGGGCTTTTTTTTTAGGTACCACCTACTCTTGCGTTGCCAACTACGAGGGCACCAATGTCGAGATCAGTATGTTTCCCCTTCTCTCCCGAGAGTTACAATGACTAACTGTGAATTTAGTTGCCAACGACCAGGGTGCTTACACCACCCCCTCCTTCGTCTCTTTCACCGACAAGGAGCGTCTCATTGGTGATGCCGCCAAGAACCAGGCTGCTATGAACCCTGCCAACACCATCTTCGATATCAAGTGAGTACTGCATAATGGGGCTTTTTTTTCGGCGTCCAAAATGCAATAGTTTTGCGCATTCCCCACAATTCGTCTCGCCCTATATGGGGCCTGCAAGAAATTTTTTTCTAACTCAAAATCAGGCGTCTGATTGGTCGCCGCTACGATGACCCCATCGTCAAGAAGGATGTTGAGTCCTGGCCCTTCAAGGTCATCGACCAGGGTGGCAACCCCGTTGTCCAGGTCGAGTACCTCAACGAGACCAAGTCCTTCACCCCCCAGGAGATCTCCTCCATGGTCCTCATGAAGGTACAGAGAAGAATCACTTTCTATATCAGATTGGCGTGCTAATCCCTAGAACAGATGAAGGAAGTTGCTGAGATCAAGCTCGGCAAGAAGGTTGAGAAGGCCGTCATCACCGTGCCCGCCTACTTCAACGACAACCAGCGTCAGGCCACCAAGGATGCCGGTGCCATCGCTGGTCTTAACGTCCTCCGTATCATCAACGAGCCTACCGCTGCCGCTATCGCCTACGGTCTCGGTGCTGGAAAGTCCGAGAAGGAGCGCAACGTCCTCATCTACGATCTCGGTGGTGGTACCTTCGATGTTTCCCTGCTGAACATCCAGGGTGGTGTCTTCACCGTCAAGGCTACCGCTGGTGACACCCACCTTGGTGGTCAGGACTTCGATACCAACCTCCTCGAGCACTTCAAGAAGGAGTTCCAGCGCAAGACCGGCAAGGATCTGTCCGGTGATGCCCGTGCCCTCCGTCGTCTCCGCACTGCTTGCGAGCGTGCTAAGCGTACTCTCTCCAACGCTACCCAGACCACCGTTGAGATTGACTCTCTCTTCGATGGTGAGGACCTCAACTCCTCCATCACCCGTGCCCGTTTCGAGGACCTTAACGCTAAGGCCTTCTCCGGCACCCTCGACCCCGTCCAGCAGGTCCTCAAGGACTCTGGCATCCCTAAGAACAAGGTTGACGAGATTGTCCTCGTCGGTGGTTCTACCCGTATTCCCCGTATCCAGAAGCTCCTGAGCGACTTCTTCGACGGCAAGAAGCTCGAGAAGGTATGATGAGACCCTCCCAACTTATTTTATATCCGAGGCCGGTTAGCTAACTCCAGGACTATAGAGCATCAACCCCGATGAGGCTGTTGCTTACGGTGCCGCCGTTCAGGCCGGTATCCTCTCCGGCAAGGCTACCTCCGCTGAGACCGCTGACCTCCTCCTTCTGGATGTTGTTCCTCTCTCCCTCGGTGTTGCCATGGAGGGTAATATCTTCGCCCCCGTTGTCAACCGTGGCCAGACCGTTCCCACCATCAAGAAGCGCACCTTCACCACCGTTGTCGACAACCAGCAGACCGTCCAGTTCCCCGTCTACCAGGGTGAGCGTACCAACTGTGCCGACAACACCTCCCTGGGCGAGTTCACTCTTGCTCCCCTTCCCCCCATGCGCGCCGGTGAGGCCGCTCTCGAGTGTGTCTTCGAGGTTGACGTCAACGGTATCCTGAAGGTTACCGCCACTGAGAAGTCTTCCGGCCGCACTGCCAACATCACCATCTCCAACGCTGTCGGCAAGCTCTCCAGCGCCGAGATCGACCAGATGGTTGAGGATGCTGACAAGTTCAAGTCCTCCGACGAGGCCTTCACCAAGCGCTTCGAGTCCCGCCAGCAGCTCGAGTCTTACATCTCCCGTGTTGAGGAGATCATCTCCGACCCCAGCATGTCCATGAAGCTCAAGCGTGGCAACAAGGAGCGCATTGAGGCCGCTCTCAGCGACGCCATGGCTCAGCTCGAGGTTGAGGACTCCTCCCCCGAGGACCTCAAGAAGAAGGAGCTCGCTCTCAAGCGTCTGATCACCAAGGCTATGGCCACACGGTAAATGCATACATTGGACGACATGAACATAGACTTACGGCCAACGAATTTTCCTCTTTCCCGAGACTCTGCTTCTCAGGGAATCTGCACCTAAGACCCAGGGCAGAGTTGGTCTCTGTCACGCTTTGTTTATGAAGCCGGGCTTTTGGGCGCAGTTTTCTTTTCTTGAAAAGTACGATTTGTTTTGTTTTTTTGTAGACGAAGTTCGCCATCTGCAATTTAATGACATTGTGATGACCTTGTCGCTATTATTATGATCATCTGTTTCACTGTAGAGGTTTCCCGCTAGATCTAGATCTCTATCTCTATCTCTACATACATGCTTTCTCTCTCATTCTCTCGATCTTCGACATGCCTATTTGCTACATGAAACCGTCCAGTACTCCATAATGGCGCTATGATCGCCAGGCGGAGAGAGCTTGGAGAGCTCGATTTTGAACTTTCCCTCACCACCTCCCAACCCACCATGCAACGCATAACCCACTCCATTCGATCCATTGCCCTTCGTGCTCCCCTAAGGCGCACTGCCCTGCAACCGTTGCCTGTCCTGTCCAGGGTCCATGCGACACCTCTGAACAGCCGTGGGTTCGCCCATTCGCCCACCCTATACAAGAAGAAGGACAAGGCCAAGAAAGGCTCTGATCCCGAACCGGAGGAGGCCATCAACGCTGCTGAAGATCCTTTCGACCTTTCTGGCCTGCACAATGGGATTTCCGCCGCCATCACCCGGTTAAAGGACCATCTGTCCAAGCTCCGCGCCGGAGGCCGGTTCAACACCACAGTCTTGGAGGGTTTGAGAGTCCAGCTGAGCAAAGATAGCAAAGACTCAATCAAGTTGGGAGATCTTGCTCAAGTCGTTCCCAAAGGAGGGCGCATGGTTACTCTTTTAGCTGCCGACGAGGATGTAAGTCGTTATTGCTATTTTTTTTATTTTTATTTTTTTTTTTTTTTCAGAGGGCTTTTCTCGGCCTCATTTTGCGACTTTTCCTACAGTTATACCTGGACAGGACTAACATCCTCTTAGCACTTGAAACCTCTGACTTCTGCCATTGTCTCGTCAAACCTCTCCTTGACCCCCCAGCCTGATCCACACAACGCCCTCCAGCTCAACATTCCTATCCCACCACCTACGAAAGAGTCCCGGGACAAAAGCGTGCAGGCGGCAAAGCAGGCATTTGAAAAGGCGTCCGGCTCAGTCCGCGACTCTAGAGGTGCCCTACACAAGCGTCTTCAAGACCTACAGAAAAAGAAGCTAGCTCGACCTGACGATGTGCGCAAAGCCCACGACCAGATGGAGAAGGTGGTAGACCAGGGCCACCGGGATGTCAAGGAGGCATTTGACGCTGCTAAAAAGACTCTCGAACAGGCATAAACGCCTCAAAGCAGTTTGGACAGTTGGAAATGTTAAATCACTGGCAAATTGGCAGATCTAGTTACTTAAGTACAGGATCGATGAAATCGTGGGTAGCGCCTGGAAAAGGAACCCAGACCACAAAATATATAATACAAACACTTCTCATTCAGCTCACATATCGTTGAACACTCTCATTGCTCTCTCGAGCCTCATTCAAAATCCTATTGCATGAGACGCTTCATCTCGTCCAGGAACTTTCCACTCTGACCGGTGTATGTTCGGTTGTTGCGGAGCTTTTCTTGCAGCTGGTTCAGCGCCGGATCGATATCGCTCTTCGATTGTGTAGCTGGGTATTGCCCCGTAACACGCGACTTCATGATCGCCTGGATTCTGGGAGATTCGGCGCCGGTTTGACGGAATTGAACTTCTTGGGCCTCGCACAGTTCCCCACGACGCTGGGACGCCTGGTTGGCGATGTGTCGGCTCAAGCGGTTAGCCTCTTCCAGGGCTTCGGCCTTCTCGCTCTCGCTGTGGAAAACGACGTTTTGTTGCCGTTGAAGGCGGCGTCCGAGATCACTGATCGCGAGATGACCTCCGGCAATGCGGCCGCTGCGGCGGGAAAGCTCCTGGTAAACGGAGGCCGAGTGCGCATTCGCGTCGGTGGGTATTTGAGGCCAGGTGTTTCTCAGCGAAGAAAGGTCGATTTCTGTGGGCTCGTAGCGGACGGCAGTGGGTCGGGCTTGTAGGATTTGGTCTTGCTGGATTTGTTCGATGAGCGCCGCCTGGGCATTCTCACCCGCGGTGTCCTCAGCTGACTTGGATCCACGTTGAACATTGCGCTTGCCCTTGCCCTTGGGCTTGCCTCCCTTGGCCGATGGCTTGCCGGTACGCTTGGGGGGTGGACCGCCGGGGCGAACATTGCGGGATCTGGGGCTGCGGATGATTTTGGCTTGCTCTCCACCGCCGGCCTTTGACGCAGCAAAGGATCTAGCGTCAATCACTCGTGGGGGGCGGGAATTATTCGGGGTAGAGCGAGGGCCATTGGGGTTGTGAGGTCGGCGGTTGGGACCCGGCGAAGGACGTGGGTTGGGGTTGGGGTTACGGTTTGCTGATGGCCATTGTTAGCGCACAAGAACACCAATTGTTGAGTGCTGCGAATTGAAATTGTCTTGCTTGCAACGCCTTGTAAATAGGTGTACCTACCAGAAGGCTGGGGCTGCTCTTCGGCCACTGAAGGGGTATAGGAGAACTGGCGTGCTGGCGTGGAAAGACCGAACTTCACACGTTCACAGCGCAGAGACAACTGCCTCAACTGTGGTCGGAACATCTTGTCGTTCAGGCAAAGCAAGTTGTATAGACCGGGGACAGGGGAGCTTCGGACACACGGTCGTCGACGAGATTGAAAATGCAGGGCACGTGACACACCGCCCAGGGAAGTTCAACAAGAGACCAAAAGATGCCAGCGCCTTTGCACCTTTAGTCTTCTCAACTTGCATCTCTCGCAATGCTCCGTCGAAAGCCCACAGCTATTGCCATTACTTCAGAAGATCTGGCTGCCTTTGAAGAAGCCAGACTCCGCAAACTGTCTGAAGAAAACAAGCAGACAGACTCGCACTCCAAGGGAGCTTCCAATGTCAACTTCGACCCCAGCGATGAGTTGAAACCACTTCCAGGGGACAAGGCTCGGATTGTCAGGTCGCGCGAAGAACGGATAGGTCTTGCTCGACGTGCTTGAAGCTTTTTTTCTGCTGCATGAATCCTTATCGAAGACACCCCTCGTCCGAGGAACAACTTACCACAATGCTACGCCAACGTGAGATCCAGATCTAGAAGAGGATCCATTGACCCAATATGCGAACTTGGATTTGCACCGAGACCCTCTCACCCAGAAACCAAGCGAATAAGCACAATGGCGCTCCGGACACCTCACAGACGACCGGTATCTCAGCCACTAGCCATCGCCAGTCCGAATGAGCGCTTTCTAAAGCCCCATGAGCATACCTTGGTGCAAAGACATATACCCTTGCTTGAATATTACAGACATCTCAACCATCTATGCGGCCTATACGACATGGATGTCTGGCGACGTGAATGAAACAATTCTGATGAACAATAGTCTGTTCTTTCCAACAGTGTCATTGTAGATATTCAGTCTAGCCAATAGACCGGGTTGTGAAACCAAATAGTGATGTACAGCGAGATTCGATCATCCATCGTAACAGCCTTGTCTTAATGTGACATTTGGGGTCTTCAAGCGTAGCCATCCTGACGCTCGCTGGTCCTCCATACGTATAAAAACAGAGATACATTGCTCGGGGTAGGGTTGGGGTTGGGGGTAGAGGGAAATGTAAAGAGAGCCACTCACTGCCTGTGGCAAATCAAGGGGAGAAAACCCGAGCAATGCAGGTGGTAAACAGTGTGAGCCTATCCTCGCTGGCGTTTAGACATGGTGTCAGAGGTCATGTCACCTGGATAGTTCCATCGTCGTTTCACTCCCTGGGGATCATATACACTAGCAACACTTTGTTGCCAATCTCGTGCGGAGAATACCACCGGGGGTGCCTGGAACTGCGGAGGAGAGAGGGATTGGGAGGAGGTAACGGAGGGAACCTTGTGAGGTGTCTCGTATTGAACGGGGTATTGGGAGTTCATGACATTTTGGACGCCCGGAACAGTATTGTTGAGAGGCATCGGCGGGGAATTGGTGCTGACGGTGGAGGGGTTCACGGAGAAAGCCATGTCCCATTGTCTAGAGCGAACGGTGAGTCAGAGTCTGGAGATCACTGGGCAAAGTCATGTACATACGTTATAATGCGGGTTGGATCCCAGCTTTGTTCGTCGACCAACGGGGCATCCATTGGGTGGGTTGTGGGAGGTTGATGGGCAACCATGCCGAGGGATTGTAACTGAGAAGAAGCGTCGGACTTCGAGTCTTCAGCACTAGCCGATATTGGAGGGGTGATTGGAAGCGCATGGAAACCCACTCTAGATTGGACTTGATTCAAGTGCGGATGATAGTGTGCATCCATTGGTGGGCTGGGCTGATACGGCTCCGAAGGACTTCCATAGGGGAAACTTGGTTTCAGCTCGAAGGGGCGATGCATATCGGCAGAGAAAGCCAGCCTGAGAGAATCGATCTGAGCCTGGATCTCGGGCATAGGCCAGGCGGTTGAGCAAGTCTCCAAAATTCTCATGTGTCGGGTGAAGAATTCTCGGGCGTCGGAATTGAACTCAGGGTCTGGGGAGGTGATAGCGACCTGCCAGAGTCAGACAAATGGGCAATCGATTAATCCATACGCAGATACATACCAGATGCAACATTGTGCATGTCAGAATACAATAAATGGCAAAGTTGATACCTCTTTGCATATAAAGCAGTCCTGACAGCCCAAAGCGTTGCAGGATAGCCTCCTGCAGTCGACATAAACTCTTCGCCGAGGAATAGCACAAGGACATGTGGATCTTCCATTCACCCCCAGCGGCGAAAGACTGGGAAGCAAGCAGCTGAGGGCGATGGAGCAGGATAATAGCGAGATGGCAGTGGGAGTGCATGTTGCCCACGAAATGGGAGGGAAGCCATGGCGGAGAGCCATCGGCTGGGTAATTGACCTGTAAATCAGAAGGCAGAGTGCGAAGCCAGTCCGCGAACAGGGGGTTGTTTTGTACAAATCGGGCGTCTGCACCCCAGTCCTTTTGCTTCTTGACTTTGTGGTAGATATCCGTGATTATGCGGATATGGTGTGCGTTGCGAACGAAGTAGGCATACTGTCTCGAACGATCACTCTCATAATGATCCAATCCCCTGATATCTAGAGTCGGGCGCATATCCACCGTCTCGGGATCAACTCCGTAGTCCGAACGACCTGTCATGGTCAGCTTTCAATCTTTCCCCCCTAATGTTCTTCTGATGGAACAACGTTGACCTACCTTGGGGTGCGCCGATCATGACTTCGACTACCAGAAGAGCCTGCCAGATTCGGGTTTGCACCAAACATTCAATTGGGCTCAGGCCACAAGGCTTGCCCTCGGCGTGATTGCTATAGTGCTCGTGGATGTCCAAATCCTTTGCCATGGACACAATTGTCTTAACGGTCTGCCAGGACCTATAGTAATACCCCTTCTTGGGCAGTGATTCCCGGGCCTTCAGTAACAGAAGTAACGCCTGGATAGTGCTCAGACGGGGCACATCCATGAAACTTGTTTCGTGTCCTATGGATTATTAGCTTCAATACACAGGCGAAACCAATCAAAATCACTCACGGTTTGCCAAAGCAAGCCATTGGGCTCCCTCGGCCGGCTCATCGGACAAGCGACCTGCACATGCGAAGAGAGCCTCCAGCAGAAGAGGAGATATAGAGCGACGGTCGTGCTGCCACTGATAAAATAAATGGGCTCGTGAAATCACGGGAACATAAGGGTGTATCTCATCAAAGTAAATCTTGAAATATGCCATCACATCGTCTTCGGAGGGCATCAGCTCAGGTGGGATGCGAATGGTGGCACCCGATCCAGTACTCAGCGGAGGCAACCGCTCTTCGGTCTCATCTTGGACGGGGGCATCGGGTTCTACCCGATCAGTCCGCTGTCTTCGAATATATGGAGCTTTATCGAGGGGTTAGCCACTCAAGATCACTATGCTCGAAAAGATGCACTGTCTTACCGATTCCGGTCTCGTCAATCTTCAGCTCCCCAAGTACTTCGCTGAGGTTCTCTGCGGTAGATTGGTCGTTATCAATATAGAGGTTTCTCTCAGAAGTCCCGATCGATGGGGTTTGAGGTCCGGTATACATATGCGGTTGTTGGTACGCCTGCGGGGCCATTGCAATTGGTGGCGAGCGCAGGTCGTTGTACATGGCTGGCTGAGCCTGGGGAACGTATTGAGAATACATGTTCATCTGCTCGTACGAGGGCATCGTGTTCATGGGAGGTTGGGTATCCCTATACACTGGGGGAACGGGGAATGTGTGGCCATCCACCGAGCTCGAGGGGCCTCCGGTTTCCATTGACTCGCCCTGTCCCTCTGGCAGGAAGTCCCCATCCTGCCCAATAGTGGGAGGGACACAGACCAACTTCAACCGGGTACACGCCGAACACGGCCACGTATTTGTTGTGGCTGCATCGCACTTGATTTTCCTCTTTCGACAACCGTTACAGGCTCGCATCACTAGGGTTGGATCAGCATCCGATAGCTGATCTGCGGGGGGAAAAAAGGACATTTTTACATACCCTTGAGCCGCTTGTGTCGATTATGCTCATCCACGAATACATAGTCTACCGGACAAATTCCAGGTCAGTGATCATTTCCCCAGACAAGTGCCCGACGTACTTTTTTGCCCCTCCTTGGGAGGCCCGGCTGGGGGCGCAAAGGAGTATCCTTGCATGACTGGGTTGAATTTGGGTCCGAGTGGTTTACTGCGATTACTCGGTGTGTGTGGCTTCTGGGATGAAAGACAATCCGGGTATCAAAAACAGTTGCGCCAAACAATTGATCCACAAGGGCCTGCCCTGGGACGTGGAACGTGTAGCTCGAGCTGCGAACCTGCGAAGCCCCGGAGGTTGGTTGATAATGTGTCGCAGAATGGAATCCCGGGGATTCGGATGATCCGAGGTTGATCGGGGCAGGTCTGCGCGTCGAGGTGAGGCTGGCGAAGACGGGGTATATTGCGCGAGGGTTCAGAGCACTCTGATCAGTCAACGAGGGATCATCCGCCGAGCCGAACAAAGCTTACCAGGGAATCGCATCGAGTTTCTCCGCAATTCACCGCATGTCGCAATTGATGTTAGGAGTGTGAGCGTTGCGAGCGTGGCGACATAGGGGCGAATCCACAGGACACAGTAAAAAAAGAGAGAAGTTGGAAAGAAGATCCCAAAGCTGAGGGGGAGGTAAAGAGGATCCAATAGCGCTGTGGGTTTTGGGTGGAGGGGGGCGATCCGGATTCTTTGGCTTTTCCTTTTTTTTTCCCTATTTCTTTTTCTTGTTCTTTCGGTATTTCTTATTTCTTCTTTCTTCTTTCTTATTTCGTTTTTTTCCTTTCTTTTTTCTGATTTGTATGTGAAGATGACAATTTTACCGGGGTTTTTCCCTTGGAGGACGGTAGATGACCGAGGGCACGCTCCACTCGGATATTGAATATCATTCCACGCTTATTTTGTACTATATTCTTTCGTTATTTCTTCTTTCTTCTTCGATATGCAGGGGTTACTACAGTACTATATCCAGACATGAACAGAAGTACATACTGCATTGGGGTATAGTACTTCAATACATACTAATGTCAGTCCAGCACATTAAATGAAAGGCGCAGGGGTGAAACAGCCTAGAGTGTTAGGGGATCTCAAGGAGAGACATGTACCTCGGCAGTGGTCAAAAGTAAATCCGAGATGTCGATCCTGTCTATTGGGAATACGAGTAGTATATCATAGTTCACGACTTAATACTATGTAGTTCTAAGTTAGATTAGATCGACATGTAGATTGGGATGTACTTTCATCTATTCTATATTGGAGTCGATCGTTATATAGACATATTGTGATTCTACTTGATTCTATTCGAGACTAAGTGTTAGAAATATATATATTAAGTACTTAAGTATAGTATGGAGTACTTCTGGATGTAATAGATTACACGTACTGTCACTTGGGAAGTAAAATACTACACGTGAGCGATAACACCCTTATCTCGTGGGATATCCGCCATATAGGGAATTGGATCTATAGATGATACTTGCAACTACACACTCACCATGACTGAAATCCAGAACTCAAACCCAACTATCCTCGACGCGGCGGATCTGCCCACCCGTCTGCGATCTCCCCCAAAGACAGCCGACCATGGCCTCTTCACAGCCGTGCCCCTCCCCGCAGACTTTGACAGTGCGTCATCTGACTCCGACGATGACAACCTGATGGAGGAGCCAATCGATGAACAGGAAATCTATGGTACGTCGGACTATGCAGCGCAGTGCCAGCGCAACTGACCCAGAAACAGATCTCATTTCAACCATCTCCGATCCCGAACATCCCATTTCCCTGGGTGAATTAGCCGTCGTATCCCTGCCAGATATTGCCATCAAGCCCACCCTGCCGCAAGTCCCTGAATCACCTCTCCAGACTGTCACCGTCCTCATCACCCCCACGATCACACACTGTAGTCTGGCCACCGTCATCGGACTGGGCGTGCGCGTGCGCTTGGAACAGTCTTTGCCATCCCGATTCCGCATGGATGTGCGCATCAAGGAAGGGACACACAGCACAGGTGATGAAGTCAACAAGCAGTTGGCCGATAAGGAGCGAGTGGCTGCGGCCTTGGAGAACGGGGCGCTGATGGGCGTCATTGCCAAGATGATGGAGACTTGCCAATAGAAAACGTGACTGATACCCTGTATGATACGATTGGGTTGCACCGGAGATGAACTCTTGACCAAAAGGAATGGGGGAAAAAAAGAAGAAAAAAAAAATACCCTCGTGACGACTCTTGACGATGAATCTGGAAATGACCGGATCTTGAATGACTTGCATTGGAATATTTGATTAGAAGTACATAGAAACAACATCCGATCTACGTGAAAATGTTGACAGACTCCCCCTCCCATTTTGATTTCGGAAACTATTCGCCGGATAACAAGATCATGAGTCCAAAACACCGCTTTCCTTCAGTCCCTTCCAAAGCTCGGGCTCCAGGAATTTGCTGACGGTCACGTCCTCGGCCAGACCCTTGCGGCGACGGGTCTTCAAGACAAAGTCACGAGCAGTGGCCATCGCTGAGGCTTGCTCCAAGGGCTTCAGTTGAACATCCCGATCCAGAGGGTCACCAGGGACGACGCTCCACTTGTCAAAGGCAAGGTTGACCATGGCTTGACCCTGCGTGTGAATGCGAAGATCGGTCTCAAAGCCAAAGGAATCAATGACGGGGATTAAGCCGCGCACGGAGTAGAGGGGAGTTCCTGCGATAGGACCATCCGACAGAACGTGACCGCGTCGGCGGGATAGAACGGTGTACACGGACGCCACGGAGTCTGCAGGTCCGGTCATAGTACACGAGTAAATGGGCTCCATAAGACGCGGGGAGGCCATCAGGAACGAAGAATATACCGCGCGGCGGGCCGTGGGGATGATCTGACCACCACCGCGGTAGATGGCTTGGTCGGCCAGGGAGACGTCGGTCAGTCTGAACTTTGTGTTCCGAATGGCTAAACTTCTATTAGTATTACAGTTCACCATTTGCACCGAGACTGAGAGCCCATTGGCGCAGAAACAAGGGGGGAAAAAAGTGGAATTGTGAAACTTACGTTCTTCACACAGAGGACCTTCCCGTGCACCCCAGCTGAAACCTTGGGTGATGGAGTCTCGTACGGTTCCCAGAAGCTTCTTGTCAACCCGAGAAGGCAAGGTATCATCCTGGAGAATATTGGGACCCATTTCATCGGGTCCAAACGCCCAGATGCTCCGGGCGGCAAGCTTGTCCCAATCATAGTTGTCCTCGAAATGCCGAGCAACCTTCCGGATGGGGTCCTTGATACTGACCTTGCCACTTTCAATGTCCTCTGCAATGCCCTCATCCAAGGGTTCCGCGATCATGGTGATCTTGTTCTTCTTGTTCGGGGTGATGGAGTAGCACATGATAGCGGATGTTTCTACCACAGTCTCACAGAAGCGTGTGACGGGGTCAGAGACCTTGATCTCCATCTCGGAGTACAGTTTGCGCAGGTCGTGCAGGACACAATCCATGTACAGCTCACCGGTTCCAAGAACGACGTGCTCACCAGACTCTTCCACCTTGGTGGAAATGAGCGGGTAGCTTTTGTTGATCTTCCGCAGTCCATCCAACATTTTAGGAAGCTCAGAGGGGTTGACGGGCTCGACAGCGACCTTGAACACCGACTCAGTCATGTGTCGGATGGGACGGAAAATATGAGCCTCCTCGTCATCTTCAAGTTTAAGTGGCACTAGCGTAGCGGTCTTGACAATGGAGTTGTCGACACCACCCAGGAGCACCCAGTTACCCGCAGGGACACCGTCGGTGGAGATGTTGTAGCGGGTTTCCGCAATCCATGTATCGGAGATGGTTGCAGTGACTTGGTCTTCTTCATCCTCGGGTGTGTAGCCCTCGCCGAGGACGCGGACTTGCTGACCAGGCCGGGCTGTACCGCTGAGAATTCTGCCGAAGGAGTGGAAGCTTCCAGCGTCAGTGCTACTGAACAATTTGGTGACGTGGATGACAAGAGGTCCATCTGAATTGCAAGCGGCCATGGAAGCCCCAATCTTGCTGTCCAAAGGACCAGTGTAGTACCGCTCCAGAGTCCTTTGAGCACCCTCCACCGGTGAGGGAACGTGCTGAACAACCATGTCCACAAATCCAGATGCAGGACCAAAGAATTGCTCACAGACCAGACCGAGGAGTTCCTTGGCATCGGTTTTGAGTTGAGATGGCTTCAAGTGAATGCCCACATTGGCCAGAGTCTTTTTCAAGTCTTCGGGACTTTCACTCAGAGTATGAGAGTAGAGCTTATAGATCGGCTCCAGAACAAACTTGACAAAGGACCGCATGGCTCTCTCCTCGACTCCCTTGCGAGTGAACTTGCGGCTCGTAGGATTGTAGAAGATGTCACCCCAGAGTCGGGCCGCGAATTCTGTCGAGTCCAAACTCGGGTATGTGTCTGCGTAAGTTCGAGCAAAAGACGGCAAAGTGAAGCACCAGTTCATGGAGCTGGAGGCAAACGCAACGTTGCCCTTTTCAGGGCTTAATCGTCGTTGCTCTCCCTGTCCGGGCAGGATGTTCTCGATCAGGGTGTTGACCTCTTCAATCACGTGTTTCAGCTTGAAGTAGGCGTCGTTAGGAGGGAGCTTCAGCTCCAGGATGAGACGGTCCACCTTGTTCACAACCAGGGTCAAGGGCATGTCTTCCAGGACTGCATGCTTGATGATTTGCTCGGTGTTCGCCTGCACACCCTCCACGACGTCTACCACCAGCACCACACCATCCGCCAGACGGATAGAAGCAGCCACCTCATCGACGAAGTTCACATGCCCGGGGGTATCAAGAAGGTTGAGCAGGTGGGACTTCCCCTTGGTCCCTTGAAGGACAAGACTCATTGGGGCCGATTTGACGGAGAGACCACGCTCTCTCTCCAAGAAATGGACGTCGGTGTACCGTAGCTGTTCCTCCCTCTTCCGGCCGATGCGCTTGTCTAGGCGCTCTGAAAGATCGTGTGTCTGTTGAACCAACATGTCCATGAACGCGGTCTTTCCATGGTGCAGATGACCCACGATTGCGACATTCCGTATTTGTGAGGGGAAGTTCAGGAGGTCGGACATGAACTCTCGAGAAAAGTGCACCGGGGGTAGCTCGGTCTCTGCGATCGCAAACTTCTTGTCCTGCACTGGAGCAATAATGGGCTCTGATAATGGCTGAGCATCCTCCTCCTGGACCATCGTTTCGACATCCTCGCCGTAGACTTGTTGTGCGCTGGGATAATATTGCTTGTCTTCGTGCAAAATGACCGCATTGGAAGGACCATCTACAAATTTCTGTGTGTTAGCGCAATGGCAGATCTGGACAGAGAGGCGCAGCCATACCATCTACCTCCATCAATTGCTGGTCATTCACTTCCTCTTCCTCATCATCGAAGGCCTCATCGAACTTGAAGGCTTGAGGCTGGACATCCTGTTCCTCCTCTGATTCCGCATCGCCGATGTAATTACCGAACCTGAGGAAATTAGTATGAATACCAGTAAAGCAAAGCACAGCTCCATGGCCGAAACATACTCGTCATAAAGGTCGTCCATATTGGTATTGGGCGAGCGTAGCGCGTAAAGACAGAAACGATGTTCTCTCAACTTTCACGTGGTCCGAGCGTCTCTCGGAGTACTCGCGCCTACACCGTACAGCTCCTCACTCTTCTCAGATCGTCCGGCTTCTGATCTTCCGTTCTTTTCTTCTCTCTTTTTTCTACCTCCCTACTCTCTTCTTCTTTCTTCTCTCTACTCCATACCCAATCCCTTAACACCTTTTCACCATGTCTTCTCTTCCTCCCGTCTACATCGTCTCGACTGCCCGCACTCCCGTGGGTGGTTTCCTTGGGTATGTCTCCTTTTATTTCATTTTTTATCTGATCTGATTGATCTAACCTTGTTTTTTTTAGCTCCCTGTCCAGCTTGACTGCCCCTCAGTTGGGTGCTCATGCCATTAAGTGTATGCATGATCCTTGACCCCACCACACACCCCACCATACTAACATTTACAGCCGCCGTTGAGCGTGCTGAGGGCATCAATGCCTCCGATGTCGAGGAAGTCTTCTTCGGTAACGTCTTGTCCGCTGGGTAAGTGGTGTTTTGATCCCCTATTTCCTCAATTGAGGCTGATTGGTTCTATGTTTCTAGTGTCGGACAGAACCCCGCCAGACAGTGCGCCATCGGTGCTGGCCTGGCCGAGTCTACCGTCTGCACTACCGTGAACAAGGTCTGTGCCTCTGGCCTGAAGGCCATCATCCTCGGTGCTCAGACTATCATGACTGGCAACGCAGATATCGTCGTTGCCGGTGGTACTGAGTCCATGTCCAACACTCCTCACTACCTGCAGACTTCTCGTACCGGTACCAAGTTCGGTGCTCAGACCATGGTCGATGGTATCCAGAAGGACGGTTTGACCGATGCCTACGGTAAGCAGGACCTGATGGGTGTTGCCGCCGAGGAGTGCGCCGAGGACCACGGCTTCAACCGTGCCCAGCAGGATGACTACGCCATCCGCAGTTACGAGAAGGCCCAGGCTGCCCAGAAGGCCGGTCTCTTTGACTATGAGATTGCTCCCATTGAGATCCCCGGTTTCCGTGGCAAGCCCGGTGTCACCGTCTCCCAGGACGATGAGCCCAAGAACGTAAGTGTTTGCTTCTTCTGTCCTAAAATATCAAGCGCTGACATCTCCTCTCAGCTCAACCCCGAGAAGCTCCGTGCTATGAAGCCCGCCTTCATCCCCGGCACTGGAACTGTCACTGCCCCCAACTCCTCTCCTCTGAACGACGGTTCCGCCGCCGTTGTCCTGGTCTCTGAGGCCAAGGTCAAGGAGCTTGGCCTCAAGCCCATTGCTAAGATTCTGGGCTGGGGTGACGCTGAGCAGAAGCCCAGCAAGTTCACCACCGCCCCTGCCCTGGCTATTCCCAAGGCTCTCAAGCACGCCGGTGTCACCCAGGACGCCGTTGATGCCTTCGAGATCAACGAGGCTTTCAGTGTTGTGGCCCTTGCCAACCTGAAGCTGCTCGGTCTCTCCGAGGACAAGGTCAACATCCACGGTGGTGCTGTCGCTATTGGACACCCTCTCGGTGCCAGTGGTGCCCGTATCGTGTCCACTCTCCTCGGCGTCCTGAGCGCCAAGAAGGGCAAGCTTGGCTGCGTCGGCATCTGCAACGGTGGCGGCGGTGCCAGCGCCCTGGTTCTTGAGACCCTCTAAAGGGAACAAAAAAAGACTCTGTTTCTAAAAGAACGGAGATGTGAAACGACTTATATTGCGTGTGAATACCAACCCCATTTTTGACGGGATCATTTTGGGGAAGATTGACAATGGCATGCAGAGCATAGCCTATACCCCGTCATCCACGTTGTGAATACCTATTCCGTCCGTGTCTAAATTAGTTAATGAGATATCCATGTGTCTTCGTATAAGCTTGTTCTATTCCCTGGCTGTTGTAGAGCATCTTTTTTAGCCTTGTAGTGATATCTAAAGGGCAACCTTTCGGTATCCTACAAAGTACCTTTTTGATCTTTTTGATCTTCTTCACTTGCCATTGAGTCTCAAGAATTCCATCGGATGGGACTCAAATGTTACAACTAGGTGTTCTGGGGTCATGGCCGGAAAGAGATCAATCAATGGAGTCAGAGCTCCACGGCATCCATTGAGAAAATAGTAAACGCTGTATAAACGCAGTATGATACATTTGGGGCAAGAAGAATGTTCGTTGAACTCGGTAAATAATTGTGGCCATAACATGATTTATGCTTCTAAGCAAAGGCACCGACGAGAGCCATGAGGAGGGCGCCACCTGCAACCGACACACAAGCCTCAACACGCCGCCTGCCCTTGAGAGTTTCGTAGCTGGACTCGCTCAAGAAGTCCTCTGCCAGAAGCTCTACCAAGCCTGCAAAAAGCAAAAGACCACTGCTGATAGCGTTGGTAACCCCAACCATCAGGAGACCCGTGGTGCTGGCAGGGTCATACATGTTGTGCAATACCAACCCGATAGCCTGACCCAAGGGAGTCGTGGTCCCGTAGGCAAGGCACATCAACCACGGCTTCGGGGAATCCGGGGAGAAGAGATCGGGGATTAGCGATGCAATCCGGGAACCCAAGGCAAAGCCCTCGAAGGTCTGGTGGAAACTGATCGCAATCAAGAGAACAACAAACGAGGTCCCGGTAGCAACACTGAGGGCCATACCGATGAAGATGCTGTGGAATAGGATCCCGGCCTCCAGGAGAAGACATTGCAGAAGTTGGCGCTGCGGATTTGCCATCGGTGGTTCCGAACCTGTCGGACGTTGGCTTGCGCTCATCTGCGATCTGTGCCTACGATGAGATTGCGATGTACGGTTTGCCTGTCCATTGATGGGCTGCTGGTCGTCATCCATGTAGTCGTCCAGGCCATCAAGGTCGGTTAGATCATCATCCTTATCTCCCGGAGTGTCTGCCAATGGAGAGCGGTCGAGATCATGGAATGAGCCTGAAGCTCTCGTCGCCCGCGACTGAGGTTTGTGCCCTACGGTATCCATGTTGATATTCTCCGAAACCGATTGGGCTTCGAGCCCCGCATAATCCTCCGGCCGATCCCCGGCATCACTTATTGAGTCTCGTCCCACCTCGCCGATCAGATTATCATATTCGCTACCATGGACATGCTTTGCACCTTTCATGGCAAAGAACATCTCCACAAGGACAACTGCAAACACCGAGATCATTGCCACGAATCCAGCCATGGCCCGGTATGATTGACTCCAGAAGCGAGGAAGACATGGGTCGGTCAAGGAGATAAACGCAGTCGGGAGTAGGTGCACAAACGCTGTCGCAATTAAGACACCCGTTCCAAAATGTCTGGATATGAAAAGGAATCGACGGGGGATTGGAAGACGTGGGAATCGGTGTGCCAGGACGGGAAAGGAGCATGCTATCATGATCTGGTTAGCCATAGCCCACCTCTGAGGGGGGGAAGTGGTTCCTACCGAGAGTACTGAGCACCAGGATGAGAAACAGTGCCATAACATGTAGCGGGGTGTTATAGACACCCTGTGATTTCGAGCCACATGTCGGGGTCTCATCAGATGTAGCATCTCGTCGAACGAGCTCTGCTTTCAAGACCGCATCGGGTAGCTCTGAGATGGCCGCGAGGGCTCTCTTCAAATCTGTCACCAATGTCAGTCAGGATCCCAATTGTCCTGTAAGACTCTGCAAGGGACACACACCTGAAGGAAAGTCATTTGCAGTCCAAGATTGGGCATCATGCATTTTGGTGTCTCAAGTCGGAGTGATCACATCAATTCACGTGAGGATTGGAGGGGTTGAGGTGTGCAATTGATGGAATCAGAAGACACAAGATCAGCATAGATGCCGATACAACATATTATTTGAAACACTTAAAGGCCAGAGTAGAAAGAAAGAGGAAGTTGAAGCTCCCCTGGCTGATTACTAAGTTGATATCGCACGTGGGGCTATTGATCGACGTCCTTTATCGCTTATACTTCCTTACTTCTTATACTTCCTTATACTTACTTCTAGTTAACTATACTTAACTATATACTTCTAGTTCAAGTTCCAGTTCTTCAGCATTATTATATTCATCTACCTATTTCCCACCTTGGTCCATCCCTTGGTACCTTTGCCTTTAGGCCGGTCTGATGCAGAAGCTTCTGAATCTTTGACAGAATTGGTTCTGCTTCTGGAACTGGGACTTTTGCCGACACTGTCAATTGTCTTAGATCCAAGCGAAGAGCCTGGTATACGGGATTTTGAGGGCTGCGAAACGGTGTGGGGAGATTCTGTAGCCGCATCGCCCCATTCTTTTTCCTCGAGTAGTTCCCATTCCGCACTGGCCATCTCACCCAGGAGATTCGATTTGAGTTTGTCCGCGATCTTGGTGGGCGTAGGAAGCTTCCACATTCGCATGAAGTCGACCCCTTCCGAGGCCCCCAAGAAAGAATGTGCAGTCCCATGAGAATAGTGGCCGAGCATGGCAAATGAGGTTGTTCGTTGGATGGTAGTTCGGGGCGAGTCTTTGCCAGGTTTCACCTGTGCTTGCGTGTCTCGACCAGCGAAAGCTCGCATGAGGGTGGAGGGATGGGCGGGTGGTGCCACCAGGAGTTGCCACAGGTTCTTGCCAATGTCGCAAACTTCCTCCCAGGAGTCAGAGGAGATCCCAATTCCCTGCGTTCGGCAGAGCCATGCCACATTCCATGCTAGGAGAGTGGCCCCTTCAAGGAATAGGGTATATGTTGCAAAATCTTCTTTGGCCAGCTTGGGCAACGGTTTCCCAATGGAAAGGGGACGTGGACGTGGGGTGTGAACCCGCGGGTCCAACGTTCTTGATGCCGCTGGGCTCGACGGATAATCGAACCTGGCATGGGAATCGCGCGAGCGATACGACGCTGAGGGGGTATATATTGTGGGAACGGGGTAGTTACGATGGGGGAGGGTGATTTCGGCAGGCAGCCTGAGGGACAAATAATGCGAGACTATCATCAGAAGGTGGGCAATGTTGGAAAGAGACGTAGATATTTGCTCTTGGGAGAGACCTATTCAGCGTTAGTAGATGAATCAAATATGGTGGTTGATACCTGTACCATTCATCTCCCTCAGGTCCACGACATGGTCCCCGCCAAGTACGTAGCTGTCCCGGTCTTGGCCCTTTTTCGTGACTTTTCGCAAGCCATAGAGGTTGGCCACTTCCCGACAGAGGTAGATTCGAGACTCTGCCGTTTTGTTGTGAAGGTTGTGCCATACATGCTCTACCCGCTTGCTGGTGTTTTGGACACCTGCCAGGGCACCAGCTTCTCGCTCACTGATCTGATATCTGGCAGACTCTGCATCCGAGCGTCTGCGGGCTAAAGTTTCTTTGCGCTGAGCAATCTCTGATTTTTTCGCCCGAGACTCAGCTCGTAAAGTATCGAGTTGTATAGTGAGAGATTCCCTCCTGGCCAGAGATTCCGCATAGTGGCTGTTTGTCGCCAGGAGAACCCATCGGGACGGGAGATTATTATCCGCAGAAAGTGACTGCTGCTGAGATGACTGCTCCTCCTGGCCACTATCCTGAGCAACCACAGTCTCAATCTGTTTCCCAAGAGCCTCCTTCTCTAGCAACACTCGGGTGCCTTCGACTCGCAGGTGATATAGCTGGCTGCGAGCGCATGTCGAGCAGTGGAATGGAAGGTGAGGATGAGGAGCACGTGAGCATATAGAACAGCTCATCGCAAACGGTTTGGTAGTTTTCAGAGCTTAAGGTAAAGCAAATGTCCATGTTGCGCCTGGAGATGATGTTACCTGAGTCGACGATATAGAGCAGCCAGAGGATCAGAGGGATACCGATCCCACATGACTGAACCGTTGACAGAACCCGAGTGAAAGGTGAAAGGTGAAAAAGGTTGAAGAAGTGAAAGGAGGAAGAGTCCGATGTCGTCACCCGACCGCCCAGACCGCTTATCTTATCTTTTCCCCCAAACAAAAGACTCGGGATTCACTTTGACCTTCTTACCTTCTTATATGCATAGTAAATATGCCGTCAACTCCTCAAGCCAGCAAGATTCCTCGGCCTGGGACACTTTCACCCCGGGCCAGTCAAGGGAACAAAACCCCAGATGGAAGCCCAGAACACAACCCTCACCCTGCGCCTGCTCCTGCGCCTGCTCCTGTGCCTGGGGAGTATCCACTTGTATCCCACTTGACAAAGGGACTCGAAGATTGTGACTGGAGTCAGCTTCAAGACAAATATGACGATGCAATGGAACAACATGGCCGAGTCGAGGAAAATTTGCGTATGGAAACTGCAAGGCTTATGGAGGTAAATGCCACACGTTTCATCTCCCATCGGTATATCTAACGAGTTTCACAGGTCTTTATGGCCTGGTCCCAGACCACAGTTGCGCAGGATGAGAACAGAGCCTTGAAAAGGTGAGACGCATGGCCTCTTTTATACCATTCAAGCAACTATAACGTCTTGCAGGTTCAAAACCCAGATGCAACATGTCCAAAATTCCGAAGTCAACGTGGACAAAAAAAAGCAGCATTGTAAGTCATCCCTGCTCTTTTTGCGATCTGATAGCTCACCATCCAAGACGCGGAGGTAGTAAAGGCATTCCAAACTGCCCTGGCGTTGCTCAACGATCAGATGAAGATCAGATGATGAGGACGAGCATGATAATCACGACTGTTATGAATTACTGTATAATACCTTGCAATCCAGGATCGGCCTGAGGAATAATGGAGGGACTAACTTTGCGAATGATCATATATGATCAGATTCATACCTCTGGCAAACACGAATCCAATATATGAAACAAACAAGATCGATGACTCCTGTCATTCGGAGAGAAAGAACCTTGGAACAGTAACTGCGAGGCTAAAGAAATGCAGATACGGCAGTAAAAAGAGTTTACATAGCTGTATTTTTAACTATCAAAGGGCACGTACTGAGAAGCACTGAAATTGGAAAAAGTCAGATGTAGAATTCATAAAGGAGGGCTATTGTGTGCTGCCGTAAATTTATCATTACTTTCGACTCTCATTGCACAGTTTCTGAATCGGAGAACTTCACTCCCGGGAGCGCCCACTCCGGTCTGCTCGCCCAGTAATGTCTTGCCAGCTAGCATTGAAGCGCCTGCCAGTGTTGGCCAACAAACCTTCTTCCTCGGCTTCCTCGGCATCTTCATCAAGCTGAGCCTCGTCCAGTTTGGGCGAACGAAGCAATGAAGTAACAAACACAATCAAGTACAGCCCTGTGAGAATATTATTAGTTCAGCGTAGACGTTAAGGTTCTGCAAGGTTAATGCGCATGACTCACCCAGGAAGAAGAATTGAGACCAGAAGAACACCACCCCGAAGAAAGGATAGTTCAGAGTGACCCGATTCAAGAAAGTGCTAACGACGCTGGGTGTGCAGACTTGCTGGGCGGTCGGGTTTTTAGCCACCTCAGAGCACGGCTTGATAAGTTCTCGGCTGTTTGAGCAGTCCGGTTTTCCAACGAAGGTACCCGGAGCACGATCACAGAATGTCTGTGGGCCGAAAGTGGCATACTGGGGTGCGACTACCATTGCAATGGAATAATTCAACGCTAGAATGATCAGCATCAACATGGCCGTGGCCAGTAGTAAAGCCTGGGGAGATGTGTGGCCATTTCGAATTTGGAAAATCTTGATCCATAAGAAACGGATTCCGACCACTGCAATGCCAACAACGGAGCTGCAGAAAAACAGAAGCACCAGAATTGTGAAGATAGCGTAGTCAATGGGGAAGACCTTTGCTGATTGAACAAGGGCCCAGTTGATCGGGTTGAAAATGTTGACATGGGCGAGGATGTATCCACACCGGTGCTGGCAGATCGAGTTCTTCGCTTTGTCGATTGACGTCAAAAGCATAGATACCCAAGCGACGAAAGCAACGATGAGCAGCAGCAGGCCCCCCAGAAGTTTGAAAGGACGCAACAAAGCCCCGATTTTGTACCATGCTTTCATCAACCAGCTCCGGCCTTCACCCTGGGACTCTTCGGCTAAACGTTGGCGTCTGATCAGGGTTCTTTCTTCCCGCACCAGTGTATCGAGCTCTCGGCGGTCTTTCGACGACAGAAGCTCTGGATCTCCGGCACATCGGCCTTCAAGCTGGCGTTGCCTTTCCTGGTTGGTCTCGAGTTGCTGCGCCGAGCTTGCCCGCAAGTTAGCGCTTGAAATGGACGGCGCAGTCTTGATGAGGCTAATTGGCAGCAGAGCCAGGCCCACTGAGGTGTACAGGACATATAAGAAGAGCCCCAGGGTCATCAACAATCCAAGGCCAAAAGTGAGTGCACGCTCGCCATCTTGTTTGGCAAGTTACATTAGTTGTTTTTGATCCACAAGCAAGGGGGAGGGGACTCACGATTCTCAGTCAGCAGACGCTTGAAATAGTCGAGATCCATGTCTTTCTTGTCCTGGGATAGCGGAACAAAGAATCCAACCAGGAATAAGATGACCACGACAGCAACAAAGCAAAGGGTATACTTCAAGGCACCCCAGATGCGTTGACCCACAGTCTGCTCCCCAGTCTCGGTCGCAACTTCATCATACTCCTCATACCAGAAATATGTAAAGGGAATCACCAGCAGACATAGTAGGGCATCCAATGAGTACAGAAGGTAGTAGATGACTGTCAAGGAATATGTGATCCGATCAACAACATCCTGTGTGGCCCAATCCTTTCGTTGACCTAAATTGGGCGAGGTTGTCGACGATACCAGTGCAACATCAACAGGCAGCAGGAGTACTGTGGCCAGAAGACTGGTAATTGAGATGATGCAAGTCAAAGTCACAGAGGGCGATCGATCACGGGGAGTTTGATAGACATAGATAAACACCGACGCCACCGCCAGTAGAATCGCGACTACTGCAGCATACACAACCCAGATGAGGGATGTTTGTAACAGTGCCATGTTGAAGTTGTCCACTTCCCTTCAAAGTGTTCAGCAGACACAATGAAGATCAAAGGTCACAGTTGCATAGATCAAAAGATCAAAATGTCTAAAGGTCTAACTGAACTTGCGCGGAAAGCAGGCATCTTGTGTCGTCATCGCTGAAACAACGCTAAACCTCTTAGGAGTTAGCGCGATGGAGGGCGGTGAGATACAGTCAGCAGTAATGTGTACACCGCCTGAAGTCCTCCGCTTTGAAGGAGCTACAAACGAAGTGACTTGAGATAGCATCAATCTGATTCTCATCCCCCGAGTCATGTATTGAGACTTGCAATCTTTTGCATACCCATTTGAACCTCCTTGTCACACTGCCATTGGAGTTCGCAATTGCAATGCGCCATATCCAATCATATCAAAAACACAATCTAGCTCTCTAAAGACTTGAGAGCACCATCAGGTCTACCACAAGCTTTGACAGCGAGAAACCCACCAGGATGCAGTGCTACACAGAGCTGCTTCCCCCGTCGGGAGTCACCCACGCCGTGGCAGCCCCATTCACCTCGGCAACGGCCAACAATTTGATAGTCATCAGAACCTCTCTCTTGCAGATCTTCTCTCTCGTCAAACCCTCAAACGCATCCAATGAAACTTCTGAGCTTGCATCATCTCCATTTTCCCATCCAGCGGCGAAATTAGTTTTGGAAAAAGAATATCCGCTGTCTGGAACGGTAACTGATTTGAGCCGAGTGAAGATATTGAACACCAAGAGCGGCGGAGATGCCATCCTCATTGCGGTCCGGAATGCGAAGCTCAGCTTAATTGAGTGGGATCCAGAGCGCGATGGAATTTCCACAATCTCGATCCACTACTATGAGCGGGATGATTTGACCCGCAGCCCCTGGGTGCCCGACTTGAGCCGATGTGGGAGCATTCTCAGCGTGGACCCAAGCAACAGATGCGCCGTGTACAACTTTGGTATCCGAAATCTCGCCATTCTACCCTTTCATCAGGCAGGGGACGACCTAGTGATGGATGATTACGACCCAGAGCTGGACGGGGAACGTCCAAACGAGGGTTCTGGCAAAGAACTCGAGCAAAAAAAAGATGGCCAGACACACCAAACACCCTATGCCTCATCTTTCGTTCTGCCATTGACGGCATTGGACCCGTCATTGCTCCACCCTATCAGTCTTGCATTCCTGTACGAATACCGGGAGCCCACATTTGGTATCTTATACTCTCAGGTTGCAACGTCCACGGCTCTCCTCCACGAAAGAAAAGATGTGGTATTTTACGCTGTTTTCACTTTGGACCTTGAGCAGCGTGCGTCGACAACACTTCTTTCTGTATCTCGACTCCCGAGTGACCTCTTCAAGGTTGTGGCATTACCACTTCCGGTAGGAGGCGCGTTGCTTCTTGGATCGAACGAGATAGTGCATGTCGACCAAGCCGGTAAAACCAACGCAGTCGGGGTCAACGAGTTCTCGAGACAGGTTTCTGCATTTTCCATGACTGACCAGTCAGACCTGGACTTCCGACTTGAAGGGTGCGTGGTTGAGCGACTCGGTGGGGACAGCGGAGATTTAATCCTAGCCCTTGCTTCTGGCGACACCGCATTGATCAAGTTCAAACTCGATGGACGATCTGTCTCTGGCATGACTGTTCATCTTCTTCAGGCGAATGCGGGAGGGAATATCCTCAAATCGGCTGCATCATGCTCGACTTGTTTTGAGGATGGAAATGTATTTTTTGGTAGCGAAGATGCAAATTCGGTGCTTCTTGAATGGTCTCACACGTCTTCTACTTCAAAAAAAGCCCGACATGAATCCAAGCAAGTCGACGATGGCACCGAGGACCTTTCAGATGATGATCAGATGGAAGATGATGACCTTTACTCTTCAGCGCCAGGGCCTGCCCAAAATGGCCATCGCATAGGTAATGACAGCTCAACACCTCAATACTACAACCTTCGATTGAACGACCAGCTTCCTAGTATTGGGCCTTTGAGAGATATCACTTTGGGGAAGGCCCTTCCGAGTGTGAAAAACCCGCAGACAAGCAAGGGTGTCGCCGCTGAACTAGAACTGGTGGCCTCTCAGGGCTCGGATCGAGGCGGTGGTCTGGTCGTCATCAAACGTGAAATCGATCCTTCGACGATCATGTCTCTGGAGACCGACAATGCAGATGGGGTTTGGTCGGCCAGCGTCACTACAACACCAAGAAAGGGAATCTCCAATCCTACTGAGAACCCCACCCGGCGATATGTCATTACTTCGCGGCCTACGGAGTCCGATCAAGAAGCGAATGACATTTATTTAGTGGAGGAACAAGGTTTCACGCCTTTCAAGGCATCTGAGTTCAATCCCAACGAAGATTGCACCATCGAGATAGGATCTTTGGCCGGCGAGACTCGTCTCGTTCAAGTTCTGCGAAACGAAGTCCGAAGTTACGATAAAGGTACTCCATTCTTTACACTAGAAATAGTTGTCTAGGCTGATACTAACTCTCGATAGAATTGGGACTCTCGCAGATCTATCCTGTCTGGGATGAAGAAGTTAGCGAGGAGCGTGTAGCTATCAGTGCGAGCTTCAGCGACCCCTACCTCGTGATCATCCGCGATGATGCGTCTGTGCTACTGCTGCAGGCAGATGAAAGCGGGGACCTTGACGAGGTTTCGCTGCCAGACGAGATCGCCACATCTCAATGGCGCTCCGCTTGTCTCTACCATGATAAATTGCAGGCATTCGATAAAGAAGGCTCATCAAAGGACTCGGCCGAAGGTGAATTGCTTCTGTGTCTATTGGACTCGGAATGCAAGCTATCGGTAAGTTTCTCGCCACTCGGCGCGATTGGACCTTTGGCCTGACATCTATACTACAGCTATTCCGACTTTCTGATATGAAGGCACTCGCGGTCATTCAAGGCGTTGACTGCTTACCCCCCGTGTTGTCAACCGATCCTCCCAAACGATCTAATATTCGGGAAACCCTCACCGAATTTGTGATCGCAGACCTGGGAGATTCCTCGGTTGTCTCGCCTTACCTGATAGTAAGAACACCTATCTCGCTGAAGGACCAGTCTGACTCAAATATCATAGGTTCGGACTGAAAATGATGAGCTCATCTTCTACAAACCAACATTCATCCCAGGTACTGGTGGAGAACAGACAGGTCGTTTGCAATTCTTCAGAGAATCCAACAGTGCTCTCCCGAATACCCCCTCGGAAGATGCACCCGAACAGGCTGATTACCAGCAGCGATTTAGGCCCATGAGGGTTCTCGCCAACGTTTCGGGTTTCAGCACAGTCTTCATGCCTGGAGTCTCGCCCAGCTTCATCTTCAGAACAGCAAAGAGCTCACCACATATCACTCGTCTTCGAGGAGGCTTCACACGATGGCTTAGCAGTTTCGATTCCACCAACACTGACTGTGAAGCTGGATTTATTTACGTGGACTCCCAGGTACGTGCTGCCCAGTTCAACTTCTGCTACACCTGCTAAACTGCTATTAGCACTGTATCCGAGCCTGTCAACTGCCCCCGAAGACCCAATTCGACTACCCGTGGCCATTGCGTCAGATCCCACTGGAAGAACAGGTGGACTTCTTGGCTTATTCAACTTCTTCTGAAACCTACGTTATCGGCACTAGCCGTCCGGCAAACTTCAAGCTACCGGAATCAGATGACTTGCACCCCGAATGGCGCGGTGAAGGTACGTATATCGCGAATTTATATACTGACGCCTCACTAATCAATGATGTAGAGTTATCCTTCTGCCCCAAAATCCCAGAAAGTTCCATTAAAGTCATAAGTCCCAAGACATGGACGATTATTGACAGGTGAGGCCTTCAGAAACCGATGAACATCACGAATCAACTGTAACTAACGATTCACCAGTTACCCGTTGGACCCAGACGAGCAGATCACAGCTGTCAAAAATGTGAACATTGAGATTTCAGAAAACACACACGAGCGTAAAGATCTCATAGTCGTTGGAACGGCGATTGCCAAGGGTGAAGACATGCCATCCCGCGGCACAATCTACGTCTTCGACGTGATCAACGTGGCTCCTGATCCCGAGAAGCCCGAGACAGGCCGCAAGTTGAAGCTGATTGGCAAGGAATCTGTCAAAGGCGCCGTGACCGCTCTGTCCGGCATTGGCGGGCAAGGGTTTATCATCGTCGCCCAAGGGCAAAAGTGCATGGTCCGAGGTCTCAAGGAAGATGGCAGTCTCCTCCCCGTCGCATTCATGGATATGCAATGCTACGTGAATGTTGCGAAAGAACTCAAGGGAACGGGAATGTGTATTCTAGGTGACGCTGTCAAGGGCCTGTGGTTCGCCGGCTACTCAGAGGAGCCATACCGAATGTCCCTCTTCGGCAAAGACCCCGAATACCTGGAAGTTGTGGCAGCAGACTTCCTTCCAGATGGAAACAAGCTCTTCATGCTAGTTGCGGACAGCGACTGCAATCTGCACGTCTTGCAATACGACCCAGAAGACCCCAAATCCTCTAACGGTGACCGCCTCCTCAGCAGGAGTAAGTTCTACACAGGCAATTTCGCCTCTTCGGTGATGCTCCTACCACGGACAGCAGTTTCGTCCGAAGTCCCAGACTCATCAGAAGAGGCTATGGAACTGGACGAAACGCACGCCAAGCACCAGGTGCTCGTCGCCTCCCAGAACGGCTCCTTGGCACTGGTTACATCCGTCGCGGAAGAGTCCTACCGTCGGCTGTCCGCGCTGCAGTCACAGCTCGTCAACACAGTAGACCACCCTGCTGGGCTCAATGCACGGGCATTCCGTGCTGTGGAGAGCGACGGCGCCGCGGGTCGGGGTATGGTCGATGGAAATCTATTACGTCTGTGGCTCAACATGGGCAAACAGCGACAGACCGAGATTGCGGGTCGGGTGGGTGCGACAGAGTGGGAAATCAAGGGAGATTTGGAGAGTATTGGAGGTGACGGTTTCGGATATCTCTGAGTTCTTCTACTTTCCGAAAACATCATAGTAAAGTAGTCCCCATTGGGACAATATATTGATCAACACAAGAGCTCCATCACCAAGTGAATAGTTGCGTGATATCATAACATATGGGATATAAACCAAAGGTAATCCAAGCCAAATTCCGGGGATATCAAGTCCAAACACCATACACGTTCGCCGTATTTTCGCCCATATTGGAATCGTATATGCCCTCAAATCCAAAAAAAAAAGATATTCAGCACCCCAAAGACGGTTTTGTGTCAGACACACAAGTCTAGAGTTCAAAAAGACAAAAAAACAAGACGAAATGGAAAAAAAAAACACCCGATCCCAGCGGAGAGCCATGCAGATGCGAGAAGAAAGAAGACACAAACGCCACCCTGCACCATGAATCCATGAAGATTTAAAACACATCTTCAGCGGCAAAGTATCGTTTGCTGCGACCTCGTGAGGCCACGAATTTCATCTCAGGCATATTAGTATGGTGCACCACATGTGGGCGATAGACCGCGTCAACGGGGGCTTGCCAGTCATCCAGCCCCAGAGGGAAGTACTCGTAGAGTAGATCTATGCTTTCATTGGGAAATGGAAGCCCTGGGGCGAAAGACTGGGGCAGATTAGCATTCTCCAACAACGGCATGGAAGAAGCGGCGCTTCGTGATGGGGTCTGGGAGACGGCGTGGGAAAGCTTGCGCATCTTGGAAGGGGGAGCGGTTTGGTCCAGGCTGAGGGGTCGTTGCTGTGACAGCTCAGCGGCAAAGGGAGAGACCATCTTTTGGTCGAAATGGAGGTTGGGGTCCCCGCCCTCTTCCTCGTCCAACAGGGACAAGTTGATCGGCGCAGCGGCAGTGGAACTCACGCGCCGTTGTGAATCTGTCGCTTGGGAGAGCTGCTCTGGACTCGAATGAGGGAACAAGGCCTGGGCATGGGACATGACGTTGTTGGAAGTAGATTGGGGGATGGGTGTCCAGTCTGGCGTAGCGTGGGTTTGCTGCATCATAGTAGATGGAGGCACTGATGTGGTCTCCGGAGAGCTACTCTGTGCGGCTGTTTTCGCTTTGGCCGGGGTCACACTGGCGCGACGGGCGACGGACTCGCTGGTCGGGGTGCGATTCAAAGAGTTGGCTGAGCTGGCCTGGGCGTTCTTTCGGGAGGCAGCGGCACTGCCGCTGAGGGGGAGATCCTTGCGAGACTGGAAGTTCCGTGGACTGCGGCCACGGACAATGACGGGACCCGACTGTACCTCCGAGATGGGAATCTTCGCGCCGGTCGACAGGGTGGCCACCACCTTGAGTCGAATGACAAAGTGCTGCTGGAGTTCCTTCCGGCGGCCATTGTTGGCCGTCGCCACTCGGAACTGCAATCGTTTCCAGGCAATCGGGAAGGTCGCATAGTCCGAATCCAAATCCTGGCCCGCCATGATGTCGAGGGGGATGGGAGGTGGTTCCTTCTCAATCTTCGCGCCGGTACTCGGGTTGTTCTCCTCGGGCCCGACGCCCGAGTTGGCGGCGGCCGCCGAGGGGGTCTTCCAGGGCACTGAGATGATCTTGACCGAATTCCCTTCCACCGATTCCGTCGCCGATACGGTGAGTTCCTGGGCGAGAATCGGGATGCGGCCCTGGTCGGTCATGATGTAGCGCAGCCCGCGCGGCAAGGTGACCGAGCCCGTGATTTGGAACAGATTGCGACGATAGCATGTCAGCTCGGCGCCTTGCTGAGGCGGGGCGTTTTCTGAGGGCGATGTTGTATAGGGTGATTCGGCCAGAAAGAACATGCCATGTAACTGCGCGGACACTGATAAATGGGCGCGGCGCACGGAGTAGTCCAGGAGCGTATAATGATACACGGGTTGGGAGAAGCTCAGCAGTTTGTTGTTGTGGTCGATCGACGAATCCTGGGGTTGTTCCTGGGGCGTGGGCTCAAAGGGCGGGACCATTTCGTTGAACGGGTCATCGTATACAGATGGAAAGGGCCTCAGTTGATGTGGTAGACCCGACGGGGCGAAGGCAAGGTCATCGCTATTTGGGGATGGGTTAGCACGTCTCTTCTGCGAGTGCCCCGTATTTGGAGGCGGAGTGCATGATCCACCCCTCTCGTCCCACTTGGGGGATGTTTACCCACCTCACAAATGTTTCCGTGTCAAAGTTGGACCGATGGTCCGGCATATCCAAACTCGACATCGCGTTCAGATAGTCTGCCCCCTGCAAATTCCCTAATGACAATGGGCTGGCCAGGTACGGCGCCGCCATCGTATCAAAGCCCTCCATGGCGACGAGCTATCCGATCTGCGGAAACCCGGTGCGGGGAATTCCTGCAGCTTGGACGGATGGATATCGTATAGTAGAGGAGAGGGAGAGAGGGAGAGGAGAAGGAGAATGAGAGGGGAGAGGGGAGAGGAAGAGAGAGAGGGAGAAAGAGGAAACGGTAGAAGAAGAGGGAGAGGTAGAGGTAGAGGGAGAGAGAGAGTATGAGTAGAGAAGTCAGAGAGAGAGAGAAAAGGGAAAAGAAGCAGGAGCATCGAGCATCGCAAAGAGAAAAGACCGGAGCCGGAGAGGAATCTCGACTTCCAACGATCAACGGATTCGGGGAAAAGTGGAGCCGCGGGTTTGCGGAGAACGAACGCAGCGCTGAGTCATCCATTTAGTTTAGTTTAGTATTATAGTATTATATTAGTATTAGTATTAGTATTTAGTATTTAGTATATTAAATAGTACTATATTAATAGTATAGTATAGTGAGTATATACAGAATAGACAGGATACGAGTTGCATTAGTGCAGGACTCGGCTCTCGGCAGCCCTGAAGATCTGTTTTGTACTTCTCGCTATTAGTACTAAAGAAATAACGAATAACGAATAACGAATAACTAGACTAATAACTCATAACTAACAACTAAATAACTAAAACTAAATACATAATAACTAAAAGAACAAAGAACAAAAAGTATAACGAAATTATCCGTTTTGACTTTATGCCCACCTACCTAAACCGGTAACGGGGTCGGGTCAACCCTCCACTTAATCTATTCTTTTCTGTACATTAGTATCCATATTTAGTATCAGTATTTAGTAGCTAGTAGTTGGTATTTAGTATTTAGTATTTAGTAGTTAACATATAGTATTAGTGCTCAGTAGCCAGGATATTGTGTCTGATCAAATAAGTATCCAAGTACAAGTACGAGTACTCGTACTTGTACATACAATGGACCCTTCCCCACGTATGTGGACCACTGCAATATTCATGCAGGCGCCTCGTGCTTGGCCCGGCGATGTCCGTCGATCTGCACCGGCTCGTCCTTTTTCCTCACCGTTGAGGAAGGAGATACAAAGGTTAGACAAAAGGTCCAATGAGGCGTGTGTCCCACTTGAGATTCAAGCTTCGTTTTCGCATATGCCAATCGACGCTCTGGGACGACACTTTTTCAAGAGACACGGTCTGTGCATTTACCCGATTCGATCATCCCGAGATGATCTTCCAACCTTCACCGTTCGCTTGCTCTATCCGGCGCGAAGCCCGGCTTACCCACTGCGTGGGGTCATGGCGCTACCCCTGGCCTTCTTCAGCGCTGGTACCGCCAGGGCGGGCGCAGTGCGGTTGATCGTCGATCGGGAAGCTTCTGATATCTCGCGAGACTCCGTCTACGAGTATACTGGTATGTTCCAAAGAGAGATCACAGTGGCACCTTGGAATGTCCCTGTCCTAAAGTCCCGGTGCGACTTGAGGCATTTAACGCAAACAGGCCAGAACCCAAATTCAACCAATCACAGGGGCCCGGATCAAAGTTTGAGCCCGAGGGCCGACTCTTTGTGTTTGCTCAGTTTGCTCAGTTTGCTGGGTTTGGTTCTTTTCTGTTTGTGTGCGGGTTACTGGAGACGTTTATGAACATTGGATCTTTAAGTAGTATATCCAGCTTATATAGATACAAGTATACTGAGGATACATTGTGTAGTTACAATGCAGCACAGACAGTGGAGATGAAGTAGAAAGTGGATATTAACGGAGCTCCGGACCAGTGAAAACTCCGTCGGCAGTTGATTGAGAACACTCCCGAGATATACTACTTGTACTCGTAGTATATAGTACCTAGATACCAAGTAGATATCTCATATGCACAAATAGCAAGGCGTAATGGATATCATAGAAAATAGTAAAACAAAGAGGGAAACAAAAAGAGATCTCTACATATGCATCGTCCAGGTCGCCGCATCACAGTTCACCTCCTCGAAGCTGTGCAGCATCGTAAATCCCATCGTCGAGAGATGATCAAAGTTGCCATCGCCATCAACCTAAGCCAGTTAGTCAAGACCAAGGAAAGGAGAGAAACACATACACAATCCATCACAACAGCATCCGCACTCAACTTGCGAATCTGCTTAATAGCCAGCAGAATCAACCCTTGCATGACAGTCGAATAATCCTCCCCACAGGGGGAGAGAACCGGCGAGGAAATGCCCCCGGCCGAACCCTGCGTGGCCCGCAACACAGGCATATGATCCGCCAGAGTGGATCGCTCGTTATAAATCACGATACTGCCCAAGATGGCCCCGTCGGAGGGCCGCTTAGCCCGGATGATCCCGCAATTAGGCGCTCCCCCGAGCGCCATCCGGTAAATTTCCACCACCCCCGGTCGCGCATACGTCTTCACGTGATCAAGAATCGCATGGGCAAAATCCCACCCATATACAAGATCATAGTGCACATCGGCGCTCTGCAGAGTGGTGGTCAGCCCATCGGGCGGCACCCACGTCGAGAGGTTGCGCAGAATCACGCTGCAGACAGGCCGGGAAAGAGACGTATTCCAGCCCATGTTGGCAAACCATTGACGAAGACGTTTGCGTTCGATCGGGCTCGCAGTCGGAATGCCGAGGTAGATTCCAGGAAGGCGGGATCCGAGTTGGAAGCGACGCAGCCCATTCCGCTGGAGCAAGGTACGAATGGCGCGGCTGTGCAGGGAATGGCCGATGGAGAGCTTGCGGCGACTGGGGTCGACGACGAGACAGCCAAGGACACCCGTCCCCGTCGAGCGGGAGAAATAGGTGGCACAGAAGCCGTAGAGGGCATGGGTGCTGCTGTTCCGAACGACGAAATGGGCTTCGTCGACATCTTCCCTTCGAAGGAGAAAGCTATTGGAGGTGGCGCCAAGGAGTTCGGACTGTTGGCCTGGTGCACAGTCGGCACGAATGGTATCGAGCAGAACATCCAGGGCAAAAGAGTCGCGCTCCTCGTTCCAGTTCTCGACCAGCCAGTGCTGGCGTGACTGGTGAAGCTTTTGAGTGCGGCCGATGGACCCAGGGAGTGCAGCAGACGGTGTAAGGTCGCCATATAGGACCTTGACCAAGGCTTGAAGAGCGGTTTCTGTAAAGTCATACGTGCATATATAGGTGCCAATGGACGAGTCCACGGCGAAATCATAGGGCGAGCTCACTGCCACCACAACCAGTGGTCGTTCGCGGCGCTCACCAGAGACGGTGCATTGTGATTGGCAAATCATCGAAATATGCTTGGAGAATCCCTGTTGGTACATATTGCGGTTTGCATCCGCCGTGACCACGACGACGGCACTCGCTCGTTGGATGAGGTCCTCGTGTATGGGACGGACGCCATTGGAGGTATATGAAGTGTGCAATACACGACCATTTCTTTGCCGCGAAAGTGAACGTCCCAGTTCTTTGAAGACACTCTCTCCGTGGAGCACAGATGAGGCTTTGTCCGAGGAAAAATTGTCAAATGGCCCATGAGCAGAATCTGAAACAGAGAGGGAAGCTGCCGAGGTGGGTAGGGGTTTGACCAGTGGGGTAAGAAGCAAAAGTTCCTCGTCTGCATCAATGACATTGGACAAGGGGAGTAAGTTGTTCTTATCTCGCATGACCGTGATGGAAGAGTCGTAAGCTCGGGTGGAAAGGTGGGTATGCGAGGGTTGCATTTGTGTAAGCGAAGAAAGCCCTGGAGGGTTCAGGGCCTGTTCCCACGAGGTACATCGTGCCTTTAAATCCAGGACCCGGCGCAGCGACTGTTCAATTCGCTGTCGACCAATGATGCCATTTTCCACCCCCAGCTTCAGCCCATTGATGGCTTCTTGTTGGACTGGGAATGACCGACACAACAGAAGGACATCACAGCCAGCGTTCTTTGCCATTACAGTACCCCCTCCAACTCCAATGTTGTGCGTCAGGGCTTCCATATCCAGGCATTCCGACACTACTACCCCTTGGAACTGGAAGTCCTTCCTGAGGAGTTCATGAACGATCTGGTCACTCAGACAAGCGTGCATCACATTCATCCCAGCCGATGAAAGTGACACCCCACCCACCATCATAGCATCTAGACCTTGCGCAATCGCGTTGCGAAAGGGTACTAGGGCGCTGAGGCTGAGTTGCTCCAGCGACTCCGTGATAATCGGGACATCCGTCTGTGAACCGAGGAACTCCAAGTTGCCATATGATGGAAAGTGTTTTCCACAGGTGACTAGTCCTGCCTCCTGAAACCCTCTCATGAACTGAACTCCATATTTTGAGGTCTCTTGCGGGTCATCCCCAAAGGTTCGCACTCCCAAGGGCTGGTTGCGCACATTGGTCAAGACGTCTAGAACGGGTCCTAGAATCCAATTGACCCCCACCGCCTTGAGCTCCTGTGCCGTGGCGAGAGCAACCTCGTGAGCTAGGCTCTTGGACCCCGTGGCTGCCATGCCCATGGCACTGGGAAATTGTCGGATATAAATATCATCATATAGACTGTTGACGCCCCCATTCTCCTGGTCTAATGCGATCAGTAACGGAACGGGATGCCCGGCGTCGTGCGCAATGGTCTGTAGCTCCAAGACCAATCTCGTGGCCTCCTCCGCAGCTATATTGGGGGTGTGTGTCAGTCACGGGATAATGGCGCGCATGCGCGTGGCGCGAAGTTCTTCCTACATTTCAGATTCTTGGCAGAGAGCAAGACGGCGCCTAGATGATAGTTCTCGATCAGAGATCGAATCTGGGGGTTCACCTCTGTGCCATCGAAGCCCATCATAAAGAGCTGGCCCATCTGCCTATGCGCCGTCAGCGCGGTTCCCCGAACGGGCTGGACCGACCAACATACCTATCTAGATCATCCCAGGCGGGCAGCATGTCCTCTTTCCGGGCCATAGCCCTGGAGGCATGCGTGTCGCCCAAAGGGTAGGATTCAAGCGATGGAGGACGGAAACGGAGACCGAATCTCGTCAGGTGACGACGTTGCAGGAGTTCAAAAGGCCGAGAGCCTCAGCCGCAAATGTCGGGGAAGACGATAAGATAGGCCCCGCTTAAACGGGTGTCACGTGATACTCCATATCTACAGGTTCCCTACGTTACGGAGTCTCTCGAGTGTATGGAGATACTGAGTATACTGAGAATATCGACTATATCGACTATACGGAATAGTCTTAGCTCTCTTCATCAGCAGTCTAAGAGCCTCCCATCACACATCGCTGATCCGGGGAATAGTCCAGAACTGACACTTTGACAGGATCACGTGTTGTATCATGTATTGGCCCATACCGTACCATACAAAACGGGTACGACGCCAGGGTTGCAGCGACGGATGCAACTTCTACAACGTTGTACACCCAAATGGAACCTCTTCTCTCTTCCTGTTTCGTCTTGTGGGTTTTTCTGTTTGGTGTCCAAGGTTCTCTTCCGTCATAGCCTATTGTCTTATTGTTGACCACATGGGCCCTATTCGCTGTCCAATGTGGTGTCATAGATGGCAACGATACACTCGAGATCCATAGGACCATAGCCTTATACAACGTGGAAGATCTTTGGCACTGTCGTACCGCTGTAACCTTTAGTATCTTTGCATCCTCATATTTTCCCTTAACCATTAACCATCTCCAATTCTTCTTCTTTTCTTCACCCCAACTCAGTGACGTAACTATGTATGTGCTATATGGACTCTCAGGAGACTGCGGATCTTGAATGCTGGGCTAATCCCTCACAGGCGTGTCATTATTAGAGAAGACCCTCGCTCGGCGTCTGTGTATATCGCAGACTACATCATCAGTAGGTATGGATCTGGGAGAGAGTCGACAATTGCTGACCCCCTCCAGGCCGGATCCAGGCATTCAAACCGACGCAAGAGCAACCTTTCGTCCTTGGTCTGCCCACTGGCAGTAGCCCCGAGTTCATCTACAAGATCCTCGTGCAGCGTCACCGTGCCGGCGAGATCTCTTTCAAAAATGTCGTGACCTTCAACATGGTAAGTACACCAACACTTAAGAGGATATGAAGAAGAACACCCACTGAGTCAATCCAGGATGAATATGTGGGACTCCCTCGCGACCACCCAGAGTCGTACCATAGCTTCATGTACAAGCATTTCTTCTCGCACGTCGACATCCCTCCCCAGAACATCAACATTCTGAACGGTGAAGCCACCGACTTGACCGCCGAGTGTGCAGCATTCGAAGCACGCATCGCCCGGTACGGAGGCATCGAACTCTTCCTCGGCGGCGTAGGACCAGACGGACACATTGCCTTCAACGAGCCAGGTTCCTCGCTCAACAGCCGCACCCGTGTCAAGACTCTCGCCTACGACACCATCCTCGCCAACAGCCGCTTCTTCGGCAACGACGTGGACAAAGTGCCTCGCATGGCCATGACCGTCGGCATCAAGACCATCATGGAGTCACGGGAGGTCGTCATTGTCGCGACGGGTGCACACAAGGCCATCGCCGTACAGAAGGGTCTCGAAGAAGCCGTGAACCACATGTGGACATTGTCCGCACTGCAGCTTCACCAGCACCCACTGGTCGTGTGTGATCGGGACGCAACACTGGAACTCAAAGTCAAGACCGTTCGGTACTTCGAGTCCATTGAGCAGGCCGGAACCGATGCCCGCACCCAGGGTCCTGCGCTAGTCTACCGACCCCGGACTTATGTTCCGGGTCCCATGCCCAAGACTCCCCGGACTGCCCAGCAGGAGACTCCTGATCGGACTCCCGAGAAGGTTCCCAAGGATCTGCGCATCAACACCGAGTTGCACCATGCTATGGAAGATGATGAGCTCACGCCTGATAGCATGTCTTCTCGTCTGGTGGACTCGGCCATTGGGGGCCTTGATGGGACTCTGAAGAGCGATCTCATCTTTGACCGTATGGGTACTCGGATGACTGCGCTTTAGACGCATAGCGTCTTGGTGCTTGATGGTTCGAATATGTGGCAAGGGGTTCTAGTGCGAGTGACATCTGCATGGCCTACCTTTTCTTTTGTCTCTTTTATGGCTTTTGGTCCATGGGGTTTGGGCGTTTTCGCTTTTGATCTGGCCAATAGATGGGTTATCTTTCGACTCAATGCTTTTATTTTTCTAGGAGTCTGTAACATTACTATGATAGCCCTCACAAATAGCATATTTTATTTGATTGAATTTCGTATATGTAGTCTCGTATATGTAGTATATTTTGCAGTGGTCTATATTGACCTCAAGATCAGCGGCTCATGCGAGACATAATTCAATAACGGTTTATATACACTAGAGCCGATTCTAGAGACATGCATATCGTATATCCAGGGATGTTCAGGGATATTATTTAAAGCTTGGCAAAGACAGAGGGCACAGAGCCGCTCATGTCAACCAGTGTGCTCTTGTTCTGCAGCCAAGCCTCGATACCGCGACGACCATTCTCCACTCCCAGACCGCTCTTCTTCCAGCCACCGACGGCCATCTCGGCAGGGCTCTCGCCCCATGTGTTCACCCAAGTGATACCGGCCTGGAGCTGATCGATGATGCGGTGAGCCTGGTTGAGATCCTTAGTGAAGACACCCGCTGCGAGACCGAGCTCGGTGGTGTTGGCCCGCTGCACGGCCTCTTCGACGGTGTCATAGTACAGGATGGACATGACAGGGCCGAAGATCTCCTCCTTGACAATGCGCATGGAGTCGGTACAGTCGGTGAAGATAGTGGGCTTGACCCAGAAACCGGCCTGCAGATCCTTGGGGACAGAGGGCTTCTCGACACCACCGCAAAGCAAGGTGGCGCGGTCACTCTCGATACCGTGTTGAATGTAAGAGAGCACCTTCTCGTAGTGGGACTTGGAGCTCAGGGGACCGAAGTTGGTCTGCTCATCGAAGAGCGGGCCCGCCCGCACATAGGGAATCTTCTCCAGTAGACTCTTCTCAAAGGCGGCCTTCATGGCACGGGGCACAAACACCCGGGTACCATTGGTGCAGACCTGGCCTGTGCTGTAGAAGTTGGCCATCATGGCGCCGTTGACGGCACTCTCCAGCTCTGCATCGGGGCAAACGATCAAGGGGCTCTTACCGCCCAACTCCATCGTCACGTACTTCATGTTTCCAGATGCGGAGCCTGCCACCTTCTGGCCCGTGAGGACCTGTCCAGTGAATGAGACCTTGGCAATCAGAGGGTGGCCGGTCAAGTAGGCACCGACATCACCGGCTCCGTTCACCACATTGAAAACACCGTCGGGCAGACCGGCCTCGGTGTAGATTTGAGCGAGGGTTTGCGCATGAAGGGGGGTGAATTCACTGGGCTTGTAGACCATTGTGTTTCCAGCGGCCAAGCACGCAGCCGATTTCCAAAGGGCACTATATTGCGGTCAGTCCAGGAATCTTTTCCCCCTCGAGAGAGTATTTGGCACACGAGGATCGGAGACTCACATCTGAATGGGGTAGTTCCAAGCACCAATACCCGCACACACACCCAGTGGGGACTTCTTGGTGTACACCCAGGCGTCCTCCCGGAGGTGGGTGGTCTCCCCATTGAGGCCACCACCACCAATGAAGTTGGCGTAGTATTCCAACACATCAGCACCTGTCACCACATCGACGGTGCTGGTCTCTGTGTATGCTTTGCCCGAGTCCAATGTCTCCACACGAGCGATTTCATCATTTCGCTCGCGCAGGAGGGCTGCGGCCTTGTGAAGAATTCGCGCGCGAGCAATCAATGGGGTCTGCGCCCAAGACGGGAATGCCCGATCTGCCGCAGCGATCGCAGAGTCAACATCGTTGTTGGAGGCAATTTGAATATCGGCCAGCGGGGCTGCCGTGGCGGGGTTGATAGTCTGGAAGGTCTTGCCGGATGTGGCGGCTTGAACCTTGCCGTCGTAATAGAGCTCACGAGGAGGGAAGGATTGAGACATTGTGTATAGAGAGAGAGTGTGTGTGTGAGCAAGATAAAGATCAGATCAGATAGACGACTCGCCCAACCTCGGCCAAAATAATTCCCTTCACCGCCCTGAGGCGTGACGTCGAGTGTCGGACTAACGATTTTAGCGTCTTGGTTTTTTCCTTCCCGGACAGGTACCGAGTACTACGCCGTTGCCTATCTCCAGTACGTAAGTGCCAAGTACCCAATACTTACCCAAATCAGCTGATTACAGGATGCGGGCAACTCTAATCTCCAACCTCGTAGGGTTTGCAAATCCCCAATTCTTATCTGCTTAGTGTCTTGTCGTCCGGAACAAAGATCCTATTCGAGACAGCCCCCTCGTTCCAGAATGATTACCGTTGCCATTCTAGCGATAGTACGGAGTACATCGTCAGATACTACTCGTACTCGTACGAGATAGAAAGTCGGTGGCATCCAAGGCACATCGGTGGGCCGCTCTCCACTACGAAACGTCGCCACCCACTCAGATCGCTCAAAGTTCGCCGAGCCTAACGGCAAAAAGAAAAAAAAAAAGAAAATTTGAGCAGAAAAATATACGGATAAGTCTGGGATCAGCCCACCTCTTTCTTTTCTTTTATTAAGTTCTTGACTTTCTCATTATCCATTGACACATACAACATGGCTACCACCAACGAACTCCCCGCCATTGACGTGAACAGCTACGATTACATTGTCGTCGGTGGTGGCACCGCCGGCTGTGTGATCGCTGCTCGTCTGGCCGAGTATCTCCCCAACAAGCGGACTCTGGTCATTGAGGGTGGTCCCAGTGATTTCCAGGATGACCGCGTCCTGAACCTCAAGGAATGGCTCAACCTCTTGGGTGGTGAGCTGGACTATGACTACCCCACTACTGAGCAGCCTATGGGTAAGTCACTTTCCAGAACTTGCAAGGGAGCTTCAATTCAGCTTCCAGCTCGCAAGTCTTCCGATGTAGACCGGTGCTGACTTTCCCCCCGGCAGGTAACAGCCATATCCGCCACTCCCGCGCCAAGGTGCTGGGTGGATGCTCCAGCCACAACACTCTCATCTCATTCCGTCCCTTCGAGTATGATTGTCGCAACTGGGTGTCCAAGGGCTGCAAGGGCTGGGACTTTGAGACCTTCACCCGTATCATTGACAACTTGCGCAACACCGTGCAGCCTGTGCACGCTCGTCACCGTAACCAGCTCTGCAAGGACTGGGTTCAGGCCTGCTCCAGTGCCATGGACATCCCGGTCATTGAGAACTTCAACGACGACATCCGCAACACTGGTGAGCTGTCTCAGGGTGTTGGATTCTTCAACGTCTCCTACAACCCCGACGATGGCCGCCGCAGCAGTGCCTCCGTCGCATACATTCACCCCATCCTCCGTGGAGACGAAAAGCGTCCTAACCTGACCATTCTCACCAACGCCTGGGTTTCCAAGGTCAACGTTGAGGGTGACAACGTCACTGGTGTCAACGTGACTCTGCAGTCTGGCGAGAAGCTCACCCTGCGTCACAAGAAGGAGACCATTCTGTGTGCCGGAGCTGTTGACACTCCCCGTCTGATGATGCTCTCTGGTCTCGGTCCCCGCGAGCAGCTGTCTGCTCTGGGCATTCCCGTGGTGAAGGACCTCCCCGGTGTCGGTGAGAACCTGATCGATCACCCCGAGAGTATCATCATGTGGGAGCTCAACCAGCCCGTCCCCCAGAACCAGACCACCATGGACTCTGATGCCGGTATCTTCCTCCGTCGTGAGCTGCCCAATGCTGCTGGCTTCGACGGTAAGATTGCCGATGTGATGATGCACTGCTACCAGATCCCCTTCACTCTCAACACCACTCGTCTCGGTTACGACGAGATCACCAATGCCTTCTGCATGACCCCCAACATCCCCCGCCCCCGCTCCCGCGGTCGTCTCTTCCTGACCTCCGCCGATCCCTCCGTGAAGCCCTCTCTGGACTTCCGCTACTTCACCGACCCCGAGGGTTACGACGCGGCCACCATTGTGGCCGGTCTCAAGGCTGCCCGTGAGATCGCCAAGGAGTCTCCCTTCAAGGAATGGATCAAGCGTGAGGTCGCCCCTGGCCCCAAGATCCAGACCGACGAGGAGCTCTCCGAGTACGGCCGCCGCGTCGCCCACACCGTCTACCACCCCGCTGGTACCACCAAGATGGGTGACGTGCGCAGCGACCCCATGGCCGTTGTCGACCCCGCTCTGAAGATCCGTGACCTCAAGGGTGTCCGTATCGCCGATGCCGGTGTCTTCCCCGACATGCCCACGGTCAACCCCATGCTGACTGTGCTCACCATCGGTGAGCGTGCCGCCGAGCTCATTGCCGGTGAGGCTGGCTGGGCTCGCAACCAGCCCCGCCTGTAGAGTTTCTCAGACTCTTTTTTACGTGCCAAAGATCTGACATGCCTGTAAAATTTGTTTTTGATCTATTTTTCCCTTTTCTCTTTTTGGTTCATTTTAGCATACAAGCGAGCGACGCAGAGCTCCGTCGGAGTCGAGCGACGATCTCCGCAATGCGGGGAACTTGGCGCCCGCCCCCAGTTGTAGACTGGGATCACAAATTTATACCATTGAACATATGTGAAATTGGAAATCATATAATCAATTGAAATAAGAAGCTCAAATGGTAAACTGCATTCTATGCTCGATGCGAACCAACGCCTGTACCCCGGAAGATAGTACATGTCCGATAACCTTGAAACAGAAGGAAAAGAAAGCAAACTCCAGCTCAAACTACAGTCTTATCAGTGTCATGGATCTTAGCACCGAACTTCCACACCTGATCCACCGTCAAGGTAGGACCCGAGAATGGATCTTCACACTCGCCCAGAATGACCAGGTCTGCATCGGCCCCACTCTCCAATGAGCCCTTGACACCCTCCAGACCCAGCAATCGAGCCGGCACAGCAGTGACCGCATTGATAGCCGCTGCCGTGGAAGCGCCTGACCAGCGACGGAAGTTGTTCACGCACTCAATCAGTGTGGCCGACGACCCAGCAATCTTGTCCGATCCCTCCAGGGTCAACCGCGCCCCAGTCTTGACGATTCTCTCTCCGTTGGTCCAGTCATAGACTCCATCGGGCAGGCCACACAGACGCATGGCGTCAGTGACCAGAACCAGACCCTCGGGGTGGGCATTGTAGGCAATCTTAATGCTCGTGGGGTGCAGATGAATCCCGTCTGCGATGACACCGTAGAAGGGTCTGCGACGCTCACTCTGACCCAGTAGACCGAAGATGCCAGGGTTGCGGTGGTAGAAGGGACGCATGGCGTTGAAGAGGTGAGTGATCATGCGGGCTCCTTGGTGGGTGGCTGTGACGGCCTGTTCGTAGGTTGCGTCTGAGTGACCGATGGAGTAGATGATACCGCGCTTGGCGATCTCTGGGATCTGGTCCATCATTTTGCCGACTTCTGGGGCCGCGGTGATCATCTTGATGGGGTTGGGGTGGACGTTGTCGGCGCCATAGCAGGCGAGGATGTCGGCGAAGGTCTCTGCGGCGAGCAGGACTTCGGACTTGTGAATGCCGTTGCGGCCTGGGCTGATGAAGGGACCTTCGGCATGGGCACCGAGGGACTCGGCTCCGTCTGTGGGCTGGTGCACTTTGGCTGTTGGGCCGAGAGAGGGTAGAACCTGGGAAATGTCTGTTAGCCTTGGTGTGATGCATTCGGATATGTTGATTTACCTGGTGGTATACTTCGGCTGTGGAGCTGACGACGGTGGGCAGGTAGGAGGTCACCCCTGTCCGGGCCAGGCCTTTGTTCACCATGCGGAGACCTTCGTCATACTTCTCCTTGGTTTCAGCGGGGACTGAGAAGTCGAATCCGTGGGCGCCATTGAGTTGGACATCAATCATTCCCGGGGCGACGATACGGCCTCCCAGGTCAATGATCTCATCGGGGGATAGGTATAGCTCATAGAAGGCTTCTTGATCTTTGAGGATCTTGCCTGTGAGGGAATCAATCCAGAGGTCTTGCTCAACCAGACTTGAGCCGCGCACCAGTCGACAGTTGGTGAACTTGGTGATGCGCGGAGTGTCCGCTGTTTTTCCCGGCATATTGCCTATCTGCTAGTATCTCTGGTGTTAGAGATATGAGATCCGATCCCGAGGTCCAAAGCAAAGAGAAGAGAAAGAGGGGAGATGCAGTAGATAAAGGGAACATGTAACACAGAGGCATTGTCACATTGTCACATTCGGCATGCCGATGTGGTATACTTTCGGATTCGGTCTAGTGTATTGTAATTATACATGTATTATACGTTCTATCTGACGGTACCATTACCCCCGCATGCGACACTCCGCAAGCGGGTCGATGCAACTCTGCCATTTCCTCTGTCTCTTCTCTTGTCTCTTCGTTCCCTTGGGTCTCTTGGTCTTGGTCTTGGGTCTCAAGTGGACTTGTCATCTCATTATCTCATTTCCCTCTTCCTTCTTCCTCCTTGGTTCGTTCTCTGGTTGTTCTCCAGAGTTCTCCATCTTTTCCCCCCCGCAACTCCCATGTCGCATTCACACAATTATGGGTCCACGATAAGAGGCCCTCGGCTACTAAACTCACTAGCCTCTTTATTAAAAAAAAGTTATCGGCTTCATTTCTGCTTCAATTGAAAACCTTTCTGGCTTTGGGATTCCGTCGAACAGGTTTTTCTTCAATTTGCCCGTTCCCTTCATTCTTCACGGCATATTCCCGCGTGGCAGCATTCCACCTCCTTGGTGCTATTGTGATTCCTAAATACCCTGCAATTTCCCCTGTAGATCGGGTCCCTTTTTCTCTTCTTCCTCTCTTTTCCCGATGGCGACTCCAGAGGAGAAGCACGAGCAGAGACAGTTGGAGATGGCCAAAGACCACGATGCCGCATCGTCGTCAGACCCCGAATCGGGAGTCGATCAAGCCGTCATAGGCCCAGCATGGATGTACAAGCCCTTGTTTAAGTGGGGGAAATGGGAGGCCCCCTATTTTGCCTCCCCAGAGATGCAATTGTACCTGGTCTCCTTCGTCTGTTTCCTGTGTCCTGGCATGTTCAATGCCGTGAGCGGACTCGGCGGCGGTGGGCAGGTCAACCCCCACGACGTGAACAATGCCAATACCGCCCTGTATAGTACTTTCGCCGTGGTGGGATTCTTCGCAGGCTCCATTGCGAATCGGATTGGGCTCCGAATGACCCTCTCCATGGGAGGATTGGGCTACTTCCTCTATGTGGCCGCCCTCCTGTCATACAACATCAACGAGAATGCAGGCTTCCTGATCTTCGCGGGAGCCTTCCTCGGAGTATGTGCGGGTCTGTTGTGGTGTGCACAAGGCGCAGTCATGCTGAGTTATCCGCATGAGCACGAGAAGGGCAAGTACATTGCCATCTTCTGGGTCATTTTCAACCTCGGTGGTGTGATTGGCAGTTTGGTATGTACAATGAACGAATATCTCTGATCCGGGTCTAACCATCTGTAGGTCCCTCTCGGCCAAAACATGCACTCCGACGCAGGAAAAGTCAACAACGGTACCTATATCGCATTCCTGGTTCTCATGGCGATCGGATTCATCCTCTGTTGGTGCATTGCCGACTGCAAGCACGTCAAGCGCAAGGACGGCTCACGCATCATTGTCATCAAGAACCCGACTTGGAAATCTGAATTCCTGGGCTTGTGGGAAACACTTCTCAAGGACTCCTACATCGTTCTCTTGTTCCCCATGTTCCTTGCCAGTAATTGGTTCTATGGATACCACTTCAACGCCGTCAACCTGGCCTACTTCAACGTGCGCACCCGCGCCCTCAACAGTCTTCTGTACTGGCTGATGCAAATGGTGGGTGCCTTTGTCTTCGGTCAGCTCCTCGATATGAAGGGCCTGTCTCGTCCCTGGCGCGCCAAGATCAACTTCGGCATTCTCCTCGCTGTCACCATGGCCATTTGGGGCGGTGGTTATGCTTTCCAGAAGCAGTACACTCGGGAGAGCGGGCAGATTGAAACCGACTTCTCCGACAGTCACTACATCGGGCCAATGTTCTTGTATATGTTTTACGGTTTCTACGATGCCGCCTTCCAGACCTGCACCTATTGGTACATGGGATCTCTCTCCAACAACAGCCGCAAGCTGGCCAATTTCGCTGGCTTCTACAAGGGTATCCAGTCTGCCGGTGCTGCCGGCATGTGGAGGTAAGCCAACCCTATTGCTCTCTCATCATCTCAATCACTAACACTCCTCAAGCTTGGATGCGAAGAAAACACCCTATATGGTCGAATTTGCCTCTTGCTGGGGTATTCTCGTGGGCAGCATGCTCATCGCCTCGCCCGTCATCTTCTTCAAAATCAAGAACAGCACTGCCGTCGAGGAAGATCTGCGGTTCTCGGATAACACCGCCGCCGACGTGATGGGCACAACCCACGAGCTCGCTGACATGGAGAAGCCTCAGCAAACCGAAGACCGCCCACCCACATTGACCCTTCACGAATCTCAAGAGGAGCCCTCCAGGGCTTGAACTCCTCTATTGTACCACCACGGCTGTTTTAGAATTTATATCCTCGTGCCCTCACGGGACTTGCATTTACCCGGCGTGTCATTCTTTTTCCTTCTCGTGAGTTTCTCGCGGGTACTCTATCCAACGAGTGTTCAATGTCAATCTCTCTTTGAATGTACATGATTTGTGGCTCTTTTGCCTTGTACGTACGATTTATAGTGGATCTCATCCTGTCTAGAGTAATACCTAACAATCAGAATTCCCCAAGTACCAAATGATATCAAATCCACTTCCAAAGCGCATCCCCATCAACCCTTGGTAGCCGTTGGCAAAGGCACAGAAGACTGCGTATGAGTCGCCTCACTAGGCCCCTCAGATCCGAAATCCGCCTTCAACTTCTTCTGACCCTGCGGCAGCTCCCAACCAAACAAAGTCCGATTAAACAACTGCAACGAAGCCTCAGGCTGATAATAAGGAACCTCATGCCCAGCCTCATAGACCCTTGTAAAGGAGAAGTTCCCATACTCCCTCGTCTCACCATACTCAACGCCATCAACCAGGAAAGGCGCATACCCTGCCTTCCGGAACTGTTTGCTATGCTTGTACTTGGTAGCGAGGGAGATCGCCTCTCCACCAAACCAGTTACAGATGTAATCTGCGTCTCCGTAGATGAGAGCTACGCGGACTGGTCGGGCGAGGATATCTTCTAGATCTTCGAGGAAGTTGGGCCAGACGAAGTCGCCGGTTTGTTGGAAGGCGAAGTAGACTTCGTTGTTGGATTGGGTGTAGTTGAGATCGACGCCTAGGGCGTTGAGGACTGAGTCTTTTGCGAGGTAGTTCTGGTAGTAAGGCTCTGGGGTTGGGTCGTTGCGTGGATGGCGGATATCGTAGGTGCCGCGGCCGCTGAAGGCGTAGTAGGGGCTTTCTGGGAGGTTTGTTAGAGTTTCTTTCTTTCTCTCTTTCTCTCTTTCTCTCTTTCTATCTTTCTTCTTGGACTTGGAGGAGTGGATAGGGGACGCACCGACGTTGTCACGACACATGTTTGTCGCTTCTGTGCAGAGGGCATGGTCTGATAGAGAGGTACGGTTGGTCAATTTGCATGTTAGGACTTGATCCTGGCAGCCATTGGGCATCTCGTTGGCGAATTTCATGTAGTTGTAGACCGTGTCGTTGACCTGGGGCTGGTGAGTATGTGAAGAGATGAGTGATGGGCTTCAGCACTCACAGCCTTAATACCATAGGTGTTATTGACTGCGAACTCGGGGTAGTGCGGAGCCTGGATTCCTTCATCGATGATACCATTGATGATACCCAGGGTGTTGAAGTCCAGCTGAATACCCTTTTGAGTGCCATTGGCAATCTTCTGGTTCTCTCGGTAGAAGTGGTCGAAGAACTGTTCTGGTTAATATCAAATGGTGTGAGGAAAATGGCGGATATTGGCTTACAGCTGGCCCATAGTGTCTAGAACAGATTAGTATTATGCTTGTTTTGAACAGTTGAAAAAACACTCACCCTCCATAACTCTCGGTCCATAGATTGAAGCTCTTCGATTTGATCTTCGAGTCCAGCTTGGGCAATCCGCCCAGGAAACCCTGCAGGACTTCCCAGGTCGCTTTGGCTGCAAGCTCCGTGGTGTCAATGGCAGTGGCATTGATGATGGGATAGCGACCATCGACACCTGCGTAGTCGCTATTTTCAAAAGAGCCAGTGATGGGATTCAAAGTGCCAGCCCCTTTCTCTGCGTAGGAGAAACCTATGATCAATCAGAACCCAGTCCGGAGCAAGAGGCAAGATTCCGTGAACATCATATAGAGGGACCTACCAACACCTAGCGGTTGAGACAGGAACAGCATGTTGGAAACCTCATTCCAAGAGTGCTTGTTAATATAAGTCTCATTATCTTTATTGACCCGACAGGGCCCCAATTCCTCGAAAAGACCAATCAAGGAATCACTTCCAGGGCCACCATTCAGCCACAGAGTGATGGGTGCATTTTCCGGATCATGACGAGCCTCGAAGAACCAAAAGAAGGTATGTTCGGTCGGAGACAGGTCCACATAACCAGAATACGACTTCACCCCGGGGGTCGTTTCACAGACCCCCTCTTTGCCGGGTTCTTTATAGCGAATGGTGACATTATTCGCTGTTTTGATGGTCTTGACCCCCGTCGCAGGATTCGGGAGTTGACGGGCGAGTAAATCCTCAAAGGATTGTACTGAAACCGCCGTCACGGCGGGTAACAATGAGATCCAGGAGAAACGCATGGCTGGCTTGGGGAATCCATTTCAGCCGTGCATCGTACTTATAGGGGCTGGTCTCTCTGGGCACAGGCGCATTGATCCCAGTCGGGTTGCCTGACGAGCGATCCCCGTTGGAGCTCCGGCATCGAACAGTTTACGCCCCCATGGCGCCAGATCCACTTGTCCACTTTGTAGGGAAAGAGTTTGGGGTTGTGATTCGAGGATCGATGGGGGCTGGGCCGAGAGGTGAGGGGAAGATCGACATCGGGTGCAGCGGGCAAAAGAGAACAGGGTCTCACGCATTTGCCAAGAGTTTGTAGGCTCCAATGGCTTTGGTCTTATGTTAGTTAGGTACAAGTAGGGTTGATTTGTCTGAAGTGATGGGTTCATTTGATTTATAATATATTTAATAGAATATTTATATCGATTATTCAGTAAGTATAAAGGATTATTACTGAAGGTTCGAACTATATATACTTAAGTACTTATGTTAGAAGCTCCCCATAATGTTACCCCCAGGGCTAATAGCATAGCTTACCCTCTAGTAAGAGCTTACTATATAGAGCCAGGGATAACGGAACACTAGGTTCTGTTGTATGATGCCGTGTGGCCTAGTGGTTAGCCTGGGTGCTGAGCTTCTACGTAAGTAACACAGGATTTGTCAGATGTGAGGTTGCTGATAGTATGTAAAGATATAAGTTATATGGAGTATATTATATGCCATCCCAGGCTATAGTCCTACGCAAATTGACCATAGTTACCCTCCCTGCCATACAACACCTTCATACTACCACTGGCATCAGTGTAGTAAATGGCACCGGTCTTCTGAACACCAACCCAGGTGTCCGTCCCCATGAAGGCGTTACTCCACGAGAATCGAGTACCACTGCCCTGGCAGTTATACAGACTGCGAATGACGGTGGTATCGGTGATCAAACCGATACCCCAGACCACGGCGTAGATCTGAATGGTGGCACCGCCGACCGGTGTAACAGTGCTGACACCCCAGGTGTTCGGGGACAGGCTCTTGGCACCGGGGACGATAGTGGAGGTGCCGGCATTCTTATACCGGATGAAGATCCGCCATTGGTCGTCGCAGGTGTATAGCAGAGACAGACTAGGGGTCTGTGCAGACCAGGAGTCTGTGGATGGGAACGGGTTGGTGAAGGGCCCGAAGAGGGAGTTCGTCTTGACCACAATATTGCTTCCAGAGTACAAGTTGGCTTGAGCAACGGTGGTCTGGTCAGTGTCGCCCAGACTGAAATTTTGGATCGCGAGCGTGGTGCAGTGCTGCGTGGCAGTCACGACTGCTTGGGTGGTGCTGACAACAACTACGGCGCTGGTTGATGTGACTGTCTGGGTGATCGTTTGATCCAGGGTGACATCCACTGTGGCATAGTCGGTAGTGGTGCTGGAATCCACAGTAGTGAAGTACGAGGTGACCAGCACAGTAGAAGGGATAGTGGAGGTGACAGTGTCGGTATTGGTGATGTCGGTTGTAACCGATGTTGTAACAGAAACACTGGCAGTTTGGGTAGTGGTCACAGGCAAAGTTGTGGTGACAGTCACCTTGACTGAGTTAGCAGATTCAAACACACGTTGACAGGGAACATACAATTGGAGTAGCTGCCACAATAGTGGTTGTGCTAGTCACAGTGGGAGTAGTCAAATGCAAGCACCGACAGGCACCGGTGATGAAGGCCTTGCTTTGCTTTTGGAGACAGGATGGCGTGACTATAGCCAATCCACGCTTCTGCTCTTCTTCCGAACGACGGTCATAGATGATATTCGTCGTCGTTGAAGCAACATACGAGACGACCGTGCTAGGCACAACCTCTGTGACGGTAGCAGTCAAGACGTCGGTGATAGTAGCAGTATCAGTAACGTCAACCGTGATAGTCGACGACACAGTCTCGGTCACGTCAATGAATTCGGTGACAGGCACTGTGGTGAAGTCTACCTCGGTGGCAGTGAAGTAATCGCTGACAGTGACGACAACAGTCTCAGTGGCAGTGACAGTCTCGGTGCCTGTTGCATAGGCCGTGGCAGTTGCAGTCGTGACTGCTGGGGTAGACGTGACGGAGACAGTCTTTGTTGAAGTCTGAATCCCAAGTGCACTTGTACAGAAAGCGTCTGCCTTGGAGTCCAGCTTGAGAAGACCGACAACAAGGGCTTCTAGGAGACAGAAGTCTCGTGGCTGAAGGACATTCATGTCCTCATTCACTGGCAATCCATTGGCTAGACCAGCCAGGACGGCTGCCGCCAACGCAAGAAGTCGAACCATTGCAAGTATAGAATTTTCAAATGCCTGTGATGAGTGAGTGGTTTAAAAAAGGGCAAGTGGTCAGTATTTATGGGTTTTCTTCGAGATTCTCTCATTCCTATCCTGTCATTCACTCGCCGGGCTTTTTGACCGGGGCCATGGAGGTTGAGTTCGACCCCGTATATCACTGAAGGATATGAAAGCCGATGGATGAACTGATATGAGCCCTCTATTGGCAATGGACTTACAGGTCCCGCATACGCTGCAGGTCCAAGTCAAAACAAGCGATATCTAGCTCAGCTCAGCCAGTGTGATTGTGGGGCATGACTGAGCTGGACCTGAGCATAACTCAGATCTGCTCAGATAGACGACCAGCATCTGCGGGACGGCCAATCAGTTGAGGAACGAGAGGCGACAATGCCTGAAGAATGGGTGTCAAACTGCATTAGACCCGGACAAGGCCGAATACAGTCGGGGGCGCGCCTTGAAGGCACTAGTGTCAGGTTAACTTCGCCACACAATATGGGCAGCATGAACCGATGTCTTTTCTGCAGGGATGGCCATTATATTGGCTAGTTGCCTCGAGTACACAGTAGACGTCGATATGCAGGAACACAGTGAATTATCTCGCCTGGACAACCTTGTTCTTCAGGCCAACAGCACTCCTCATCACGTGACTCTAAAGTAGTCACGTGTGCTGATGTAATGGTTCCCCAGATGCGGGGAGATCACGTGGCTAGTAGCGGTTAGCATCGGACGAGAGAGAGTACTACGAGTATCCCAGAACCAAATAAAGCAGACAGAATGCGCCTATTCTCTTTGAATAGACTCATATTCCTCTCTCCATCGACATATTCGTCATGAGTTTCAGACACGGACTTCTTCCCCGCTTCCGCCCTTGTTTACCCCGGAATCACCTCCGCATTCGCAGTGTGCCACCACTCTTATCTCGGAGGTTCCATGCCAGCTCTTTGCTATGGGGAATTAAGTCACAGGTTCTCAAGGACGTCGGCGAGGGTGAGCTTCCCGATCTGCTAGTCTCGTCAATTCCTTTGCTGACAATGGCCAGGTATCACCGAGGTTCAGATCATTCAATGGTATGTGGAGGAAGGGGCTCACATAGAGGAATGGAAGCCATTGTGTCAATATCAGTCCGATAAGGCTGTGGATGATGTGCGTCAAGATATCTGTGCTCTCTCTTATAAGAATCTAGCTGACAGGCCAGATTACTTCCCGATATGAGGGAGTCATTAAGAAGCTTCACTTCGAAACGGACGATACAGTACCAACAGGAAGGGTGTGTACCTCAGCCCTGTACCCAACTGGAAACCTTGTCTATTGCTTTGATCCTAATTGCTTCTAGGCATTATGCGATATTGAAGTAGAAGATGGAAAATACCCTGATGATAACCCACCGCATGAACCAAGGGCAGAGCCAACACCATCGCCAGCCAATGACATAGCTGCCGCAACCCAAGCTGCAGAGTCCTCACTGGCATCTTCTCCTCCCCCTCCTCCACCACCTGTTGCTCCTGAGGAAGTAACCAAGTCCAAGAGTGCGTCTCTGGCAGTTCCCGCCGTGCGTGGGCTCCTGAAGAGCCATGGCATCAACATTCTCGACGTCAATGGCTCAGGGAAAGACGGCCGAGTGATGAAGGATGATGTCTTGAAGTTCGTGGCCGCCAGAGATTCTGCTGCCTCGATCCCTGTACAGCCCTCGGTAGACACACGGCAAACAGAGTCAACCGTCAACTTGACTCCGATCCAATCTCAAATGTTCAAGATCATGACCAAATCATTGAACACACCACACTTCGTCTACGCCGATGAACTCAAAGTGAACGACATCACCGCGATCCGTCAAAAGCTTGCCAATGACAAGCGCGAGCCTACTAAAATCACCTTCCTCCCCTTCGTGGTCAAAGCTGTCTCACAAGCATTGACTGACTTCCCCATCCTCAACGCAAAAGTCGATACCAGCGACCCCAACAAGCCCAAATTGGTGATGCGATCAAAGCACAACATCGGAATTGCCATGGACACACCTACCGGTCTCATTGTACCCAACATCAAGGACGTCGCCAACCGATCAATCTTCGATATTGCCGCCGAGATCGCACGACTCAGTACCCTTGGAAAGGCCGGGAAATTGACACCGGCCGATCTCAGCGGTGGCACGATCACCGTGTCGAACATTGGTAACATTGGAGGCACGTACGTGGCACCTGTGATTGTCCCTACGGAAGTGGCTATCCTGGGAGTTGGTCGGTCCAAAGTGGTGCCGGTCTTCGATGAGGCAGGCCAGGTTACACGCGGGGATATGGTGAATTTCAGTTGGAGCGCGGACCATCGGGTGATTGATGGTGCGACGATGGCCCGGATGGGCAACCGAGTTCGGGAGCTGATTGAGTCTCCGGAACTTATGCTTTTGAACCTGCGCTAGGTCCATTATCCTTGTCTATAGAGATGATATAAATGATTCTTCTATGCATGATCTGCATCTGGGCAATATCGTACAATTATACTGTAGGACTATAAGACTATAAGACTGGGAAAGATGTATCCAAGTATTGCAGACAATTCGATTGTATAACAAGTCTGGATAGACAAATGATATGAAGGACTCGACGAGCCCGAACGCCAAATCTAACAAAGACGGCATATCCGGCCGAAACACCAGACACCATGGGAGGAAACAGAACAAAAACAAACATAAAAAGACAATCAAATGCTAAACAATCCTCCATGCATAATCCATTTTCGCATACGCCATATCCAATATCAGAGGCTCAAGTCGTCACCGCCTCTTGACAGAAAAACCCAAAAAAAGAGGCTCAAACGTACTCGGCCAACTTCTCCGTCACCGCCTCAATCACACTGCGCTGAACATCTTCCATGGAGCCCTGCACATTGATAGTCAAGGCATCCCATTCGCCCTTGGGCTCCTCCAGTGCCGCAAGCTGCGACTGGACCATGCTACTCTTCATGTAGTGAGACTGGCGCTGAGTGACGCGCTGCAACAGGACATCCTCATCGAGCTTCAAGTACACGAAGTGAATGCGCACAGAGGAGGAGCCATAAGCCGCCACACGCATGACATCCCGGTACTTCCGCTTGAGGGCGGAACAGGCGACGACGACACCGGCAGGCGGGTGGAATTTGTTGGTTTCTGAGGGGGAGAGGACATCGATGGCGGCTTGTCGGAGGGAGATCAACCAGTCCCAGCGGTCTGCGTCTGTGAGGGGGGTTCCTTGACCCATTTTTTCCTTGTTGGCGGCTGGGTGGTACTAGTGGGGTGTTAGATTGGGTTTCTTCTGCGGGAAATGGTGAGATATCACTTACGTCGTCGCCTTCTAGGAATGGGACACCCAGTTCAGTGCGTAGGACATTGCCAACGGTGCTCTTGCCGCAGCCTGCTGGGCCGGTCACGACCCAGATGTGTTGTACATGAGCCGGGTTTGTGGGGTTCTCCTGGAGAACTGATGCAGCGGTTCCATTGGCGAGATCAGGCATGATGACCGAGTCTACTTTGGCGTGAGGAAGTTGTCGTTCCCCGGCGGAGAGCATCTTTGTGGTTCCAAGGTTGAGTTCGGGTATGACGTGGGGTATATAGTATATAGATACAGGTGAGATACAGGGTAAAGAGAAGATAGACAATCAATAGATCAATAGAGAGGAATAGAGAGGAGAGAATAGAGAAGGGAAAGAAAAGTGAGAAGATCGCGCGCAGGCTACTTTTTAAGTATTTAAGTATGGCGGTGGGTCTCCGATTCAGAAGCCGAGTGGGGGACGGCTATTGCTATACATTTTATAGTACAGTATAGAGTACAGTATATATACTAGTATAGTTAGAGTATGATAGTATGGGTGTATAATATATAGATCATTCTTTCAGCCCAATATACACATCCTGTAAAGTACAAGTACATATATAAGTCTATAAGTAGGGGAAGTACAGGATAGTCGGATCTGATGTCACCGTACGGTAATTGTGCACCCCCACGCTAAGAGACACCGCCATGTTCCTGGTTTGGGTTTCGTTTGGTTTCTTTGGTTTCTTTGCTGTACGCAGTGACTACTACTTGTAGTCTAACTAGTTACTCTACGCACAGTCGAGTCCTCTGAAATGCATCCCACTCGGGACACACGTCATGCCGAAGACTCTCCGACTCGGAATATCGAGTATCAACCCCCACTGAGAGATCCACACCCGATACATACTTCACTGCTCAATCCCGTGTGCCACTCCGTACTGTCAGGGGATAGAAACACAAGGTCATACTTCCGGGGAATCGTCTCACTTCCGATAGGCTCGCGACATCAGGCCGCCCTGCAGCCCTCGCACAATAACACGGTCTGAGCACTGCCAGTGGGAATCTGGGGAAGAGGGATTCCTGCGGGGTAAAAGAAAACCCTCCAGCCCAACGGGTTTTCGATTTCAGAGACCGAGACAAGCCAGAATGTCTAGGGTACCTACGAGTAGGCACGGAGTATGAGGGGGCAACAATGCGGGAAGCGGATTCCGATTTATCCGTGTTTATCCGTCAAATGGTGCTGACCCCGCGGTGCATCTGGACACCTCAGAATTGATGTCGGATTCGGAGGACCACTCGGTGGAAAAGGACCTGAGGGAACTGCGGCGTAGCATATAACCTGTCGGAAGTGAGCGTCCACGGGTCCGTGGTAGATCGCTGAGATGAATCCCCACTACTCCCTGTAATTGTAGGAAGCATAAAGACAAAGAGAAACAGTCCACAATCTATTCTTGACAGCTCAAAGATCGGAAAGTGGAGGGAAATCAAGCAGAACGCGGAGATATTGTCGATGTCATTCCGAGGCGGTGAGCCATCCCGCCTCCAGGCCACCGCGACAAGCTCCCGGCCGTAGCTCCGACATAGGTGCATCTAGACCGCATTCATGGCTTCTCTCTTTTTCTCCGCTCCGGTCGACATCGATGTCGTTCTTGAGGATCTCGATGAGCGCCAGACGGTCGATGTCAAGCTGGACAAGGGCCGTCGCGAGCGGGTCCCTCTGTACATGGACGGAGAGTCCGTGAAAGGCGCCGTGACAATTCGACCCAAGGATGGCAAACGATTGGAACACACCGGTATCAAGGTGCAGTTTATTGGCACAATTGGTATGTGAGGCTGTGAGGCTGTCAAGCCGTGAAGTTGCGATCTTCCCCCGCTCTGGACTGACATGTTCCAACAGAGATGTTCTACGACCGAGGCAACCATTATGAATTCCTTTCCCTCGTTCAAGAGCTGGCTGCCCCTGGCGAGCTCTTACACCCGCAGAGCTTCCCTTTCAACTTCAAGAACGTGGAGAAGCAGTACGAGTCCTACAATGGCATCAACGTTAAGCTGCGCTACTTTGTGAAGGTGACCGTCTCACGCCGCATGGCAGACGTCGTCCGGGAGAAGGATCTATGGGTGTACTCCTACCGCATGCCGCCCGAGAATAACAGCCCCATCAAAATGGACGTGGGTATTGAGGACTGCCTTCACATTGAGTTTGAGTACTCCAAATCCAAGTACCATCTCAAGGATGTGATTGTGGGCCGTATCTATTTCCTGCTGGTGCGGCTGAAGATCAAGCACATGGAGCTGTCAATCATCCGCCGGGAGACGACCGGGTCTCCACCGAACCAATACAATGAGAGTGAGACGTTGGTGCGCTTCGAGGTAAGTCTCCCCGGTCCTCCGGTCCCTCCACACCGAGTCAATCCATTCCAGTATCCTAATATTGACACCTGTGCAGATTATGGACGGTTCGCCATCGAGAGGTGAGTGGAAATTGAACCTGCCCCCGACGGGACCACGGTCTATTGGCTTCGGGGAGAGGTGAAGCACCACGGTCTTGAGTAGAGCTGACTTCGCATAGGTGAAACCATTCCAATCCGTCTATTCCTGGGCGGATTCGACCTGACCCCGACCTTCCGTGATGTGAACAAGAAATACTCGACGAGATACTATCTCAGCCTGGTGCTGATTGACGAAGGTATGAATGATTCCTTACTATATCATCAATTACCGACGGCAAATGAAATTACCCTAAATGCCGGAGTCCGACTCGGCCCGGGGCTGAGTTCGCTCTGCCGATTCTCTCCCGTCCCCCCAACCCGAACCCCCACGCTAGGCATCTCTACTCCACACATTATCATGCACCCTGTCTTGTTTTCAATACTAACAGCAACCAAGATGCTCGTCGCTATTTCAAGCAGTCCGAAATTGTGCTCTACCGCCAAGCCCCCGAGATTGCCCCGAACGCCCAGATCGCACAGCAACAGCAGATCCAGCAACAGATGCTCCTCGAGCAACAGCGCCAACAGCCCGCCCTTCCTCCAGGCTCTGCTACCGCTGGACCTGGAAGGGAATCGGCACCCCTTCGCCAGGAACCCCAGCCTGTCCCTACGCCCGCTGCATAGACTATCTCATCGCACTCTTGTTCTCCGCCTTTTATCAATCCCTGCGGATCTGCTATTCTATACCCGCCCCTTGTCTCTGGTTCAATTTCCTCTTCCTCTATCCTTTGGTCAGGCGACCGTCTGTAGTTTAAGTTCGTGTCTACATTTGAACATCCCAATTCGAAATCGAATGCATCCTGTACCAAAAATTACCAGTAGTTTCCATACCAAAGCCCTACAATGTCCAGGTGGCAAATATGGGCTAAAACAAGCCATTTATTGGTCTCCATGTAGTGATGATTATGTAAATTCTACACTATAATTGGAATATCATGGTTCGCTAGCCGTCTATAGACGAAAGAAAAATTATATGCAACTTGAGGGCTAAGGCCCGAATTCTAGACTAAGCTTCAAACCGACCGATCTCCTGCAAAACCTTTCCAAGTGCCTGGATGACCTTTCCATCATCTCGCTCCTTGCCAGCAACCTGCACAGCACGAGTGACGAGAGGGTAAACCCACTCCAGATGCTTGCGATAATGTCGGACATCATCAGACCCGAGAGCCGAAACCGTCTTGATAGCAGTCGGGTCCGGAATAGCAGAAGGCTCACTCTTCAACTCAACCAAATGATTGAGAAGGTGAAGTATATCCTTTCGAGCGGGCGTAGGCTGCGGCATCAAGCCGCGTAGGGGCTGATCTGCGATATAGGATTTGAGCGAGATGGCGCAGCGCAGGAGAAGATAAGGTGAGATGGAGCGGGCGAGCAAGACAAAGGGGGACTGGGTCTCGGTTGGATTCTCTGTTTTGGCTGCCGCAAGCTCGAAGAGAGTGTCAATGAGAACATAGGTGATGCCCGGGCGGAGATTTGGGGGTGGGTCGAAGGTACGGCCTGAACGGACTGTGTAGAAGTCCTGCAGGGGGTCTTCGATGGTAGATTTGGGAAGGTCGAAGCGGAGGGGGGCATATATGAAGGATGAATTAAAGAGAGCGCGGGCGAAGTCATGGCGGACAGTGTCGGGGATGGCAGAGTTTCCAAGGGATGGGAGGATGATTGTCTTCAGTTGTATGAAGGCCTGGGTATCGAAGTCTTGATCGGACGCAATTCGTTTCTTGGGGAGTTGCTGGGTTTGGAAACCTTGAGCAGAGACGATCCCATTTGTGATTTCCACGATGCGTTGCCAGAATTGGGATATTTCAGACTCGGCTGCTTTGTTGTATTGGCTTTCGGCATAAGGTACCGCGACTCGGAGAATGTTCAGGGACACCGTTGTGGCCTTCTGCCAGATGAAGGGCTCCCGATCTTTTCCTTTCCATGTGTACTTCTGTGCAATTGGAGTGCTGAGGTGCTTGAGGGTTGCTGCCAAAGTTCCATTGGTAAAGACATCTTGTTTGATCCCAAACTCAGCGATGTACCAGTTCACAAGGTCAATGGTGCTTTTGGAAAATGCTACAAACGCGGGCTTCCTGGTATCGCTACCAGCACTCCACCTTGACAGCGCAGAATCCGAGAGCTCAGCGAGACACAAAAGAATCGCCGGCTGTGACTCCTCTTTCTCGAGGCAGAGGGTCTTCATGCAGTCGGTGACTAGCGCTTGAACAGCCGAGGGTCGATCGATATCCGGAGAGTAGCGCGGGGAGACCGAGTTCCACACCAACAGACGAAGGTGGTGGAGAACCTTTTCGATATGTGCCGGGGTCAATTGGCCTTTGTAGAGGCGATAAACTTGCTGGAATGCCTGTAGATAGGCCAGAGCGGCGTCCTGGTTGGACTGGTCGAGATCAAGTACCTCTTCAGCAGCAGGGTGTGAGTGTGCCCAAGCAAGCCATGCGCACTCAAGAGCTTCGTTGCTCATTTGACCGGCGCTCTGTACTCGAAGGAGAATCGCAGATAGACTGGAGAATGTTGCTTCGTTGAATTCCAGGATCTGTAGATCATTCAAGCTTTGCCAGTATTTCAGAAGTCGTTTCCAGGACTGATCGAACTTCTCGTCGCGAGCCAGAGTCTCGAAGAAATTAGTGATCAAGCTCGATGAGCCTCTGATCATGACAACTGCTGTGTCCACCCAAGACTTCAGTTCATCGGATTTCGCCTGGCTCTGCTTGCTCTTCACCTCGAGAAGTGTAGCAACAATGCCTTCCGCCATCCTGAAAACGACCATATTCAAACAAAGACGCCATGCCATAGGGGAAAGCTGCTGCCCGTAGGCATCAAAAATGCGGAGAAGGGTATGCACCGCACCATTTCTAATTTCCGGTCGGCTGTCCGACGTGATATCATTGATACGGAGCAGCAGCAATAGCCACAAAGAGTTTCGCGAAACAGATGGATCATCGTTGCGAGCAAGACTGGCCAGCTCTTGCTCGCTGACAGATGGATCGATATGGTCGACGGAGATCTGCTCAATCTGACCCTGAAGGAAATCGGACACGTTCCAGAAAAATGATGTGGTGGTGAGAGAAATGTTGAAATCCTGAGTTTGAGATGCAAAGCTAGAGAAGGCGTTCACCAAACTCATGAGACAAGGTGCCGGAAGCAAAGAAAGGAAGTCAGAGGCAACAAGATGTAACGATTTGTAGGCAGCCCGAACCAGGCGCGGACCTGCTGGGAGTGCCGATGGTCGACGCTGCAACGTATCCGTTGGCCGGCCAGCAGTTTCAGTCCGCATGGTAGGTTGGAAAACCCCAGATATCAGGTCAAAGATGAGATGCCATCCATCCACAAAGGTTTCTGCGTATTGCTCCAAAACGTTCCGAAGCACCTCTAGACCCTGTTCATGAATCTCAATCACGGTTATTGGTAAAGACTTTGAAGTATGCATGTCCGATGAATAGAGCGAGGTAACTTGGTCTTTCAGTGTCTGCAAGTTCCTTGTTTGTACATCATTGTACACTTTCTCATCATCCTCATCCCTTCGTTTCATTGTGGAGAGAACGAGTGAGCTGAGGATTGCGCTTGCTTGCAGGCGAAGATTCGGGCTGATGGCAGTATTGGCAGAAGCTGAGATGAGACTCTGCGTTAATAATTCCCATGCTTTAAGATCATTCGATTCCAAAGATGAAAATCTGTCGAGGTTGGCATTGGCCAGCTCATTGGCCTTGTCGAGAACAAACTTAAGCTCCTCGTCTTGCATTCTAGATTTTCCCACAGTATGTGACACTCGTCGGGCATTTTGATGCATACGTCCGCTGCCTCGAGAGGATTGTGGCGAGCGAGGCATTTCCGAAACTTCCTTGGCTTTCTCTTCTTGCGGACGCTGCTCCGTGAACGCTGATAGGTTCAATAAAGCAAGCAAGATCTCCTCGAAGGATTCGCCCGGTAGATCGCTGGTAGTTTCAAGCATCTTACTGGAAGCTGCCTGCACCGCGATCACTTCGGTTCCGAGGTTGGCAGTGGGAACATCGTTCCCTGGAGTCAGTGGCGCCTCGCCAGTCCCGCTAGCTGACTTGACCATTGCACTAGAAGACATGCCAATCACGAGCCCGGTGTACTGGAGTGTCTCGAAGATAATAGACCAGGCCGGCTGGTCCAATGTTGGCCCCAAGGCAATCCCTAAATTCAACAAGGCCCGCATGCAAAGCAAATTCCTAGTACTCAAAGACACAGGATGTCCTTCGCCCGCGGCTGCTCCGGTAGACTCTGCTAAGGAAGGGCTAGACAGTGAATAGTCCGCACTCTTCCGTTTCTTTTGAGGCGTGTCACTAGGCTGTGGCCCAGTAGTAGATGCATTCTGAGTCCTGGAGCTAACTGCATTAGCAGGCGTAGCAGCCTTTCCAAGAGTGGTCAAGAAAGCATCCCGGGGCACGGATAACCTCAGAAGACCCGCCACATGAGCCAGTTTCTGGAATGCTCTAACGAGATTGTGGTAATACTCGTCATCCAAGGATGCGCGGAGGAAAGTGGAGCATGTCGCGAGGACAGCAGGCCAACAGTTCTCTATTATCCCCGCGCAAGTCTTGATCGCGGAATATTGAACATGAGACTGGAGATCCAAAGGATTGATGGGAACTTGCGCTTTCCTCGCCGGTGAGTTGGCTTGTGGTCGAATGGGTTCTGCTGAGAAATCTTGAGAAGATCTCGCAGAATCAGGCCCTTGAACAGGACTAAGGAGTCGATTCTTGCGCAGTTGTTTTCGATCCGGAACCGTCAATGGGAGAATGAATTTTGCAAGTCCTTCAGCAAAACTGCTGATACAGTTGAGAACCAGACTGTAAATGTATGTCTCAGGCGCAGTAGGCGGGTCCGTCTTGTCGAGGAGCTCGATGTATGGCGTACGAACTATACTCCACTGTGTGCTAATCCCAGGAACTTTGATTTCACTAGGGGGAACCGTCGACCCAATAACACCAGCGACTCCACCGGTTTCAAGGGTAATTTGATCCTCTGTGGCAGATCTTGTAGGGTCTGCGCGCGAAGGTACCGTTGACTGATTGCTCACCCCTATCAAGGCAGGCTTTTCAGATGCCAGTCTGACCAGCGCAGCCATATGGTCACGAAGGATGTTCTTTCGCCCATCCTCGCCATCGTACAGGGTGTAAATCAGCCGCACCGCACCTGGTTCGGAGTATAACCCTCTGAATATCTCCATACACAATAGTCTCTTCCATGGCGCCGTGGAATCCGGTTCGGCTAGGTGTGTTATGAGGCTCAGTGCCATCTCGCATTCTGCTGTCAGAAGAGACATATGGCGTTTTAATAGTATGAGAAGGATTCGAGAAATGCGCACGCTTTGGGCGAACGACGACCGTTCAGAAAGACAGCGGACCGCCAGTGGTAACAGGCGAACACGCAACACTTGCGAAAGCTCGGGGTGTCCTACGAAGAGACGTCCGCTGTTCAGGAGAATACTCTCAATCAGCTCCAAGACGAAAGTCGGGGACAGAGTCCGTGAGCGCAAAAATTGCAGCGTCTCGCTATCGATCAAACGACAGAGGTCGTCTAATACCAGTAATGCATCGTAGGCGAAACACCCGACATCAACCCGCTGACCATCAACTTTGATGGATGTTGTGATCTTAGCATCTTTCGGCAGCTGGTCCTCGCTGAATACTCTCTCGAAAGTCGACACTACCAGCTGCTGGAGAGTCGCAGCTGCAGTGCTGGAGACAGCGATTGTTTTGCTTGCTTGTAACGTAGCACATATTTCCAATGTGTCAGCGAGAAGCCCCCGGCTCAGATCATTTGAGTAAAACTGCAGCAGCGAAGGCAACGACTGCAAGATTTTCAACTGGATATCAAGGCCTTGTTCTTGTGTCAGTCCAGATTACCAAGGTTGTTTTGATGCGAACTTTGGGCAATTACTTAGACCTGTTGTTTCTTTCAATCCTCCTACAACGTCTTTAAGGCGAGTTGAAGGCAAAGATCGCGATGCAATCAGTCTTTGCAAACAGATTACAGCAATACCAGCAAGCTTTGCATGCCGAGTATGACATGCAATGATGAATGGGTCCACGAATTTGGGTTTGCGAACAAGGTCTGGTGAAGGTTTAGCCATTTCCTGGCCATCAACGCCTGCTCTATCAAGACCAACCTGCTGCTATTTGCGCCTCTGAGGTAGAAGGCAGAGCTTTAAGCTCGTTGAGCGACTGCTCCGCGGCCTAATCCCTGGGGTCAGTGTAGTCTTGATGTATGGAGTGGACGACTAACATTGCGCAGATCGGGATTTTTCCTTCTAGATTCTTGAATCAGATTGGCAATCTCGGTTTGCAAGAATTGAGAAGACATCTTGAGAGAGTTCACAGCATGACCAGGGCTGTCAACAATGGCAGGGAGCACAGGATCACGACGGGATCAGTCAATATCGGGGGGCTTTAAGCCAAGTGTGTCCGACTGGGAGACTCTGTTTGCAGGGATCCCCTATGGTCACCAGAGAATCTGTGAAATGGTTGGAATTGACTGGACACTTGGACACTTCGTCGGTTTACGCACTTCCCCGGAGGCCCACCGCCTCACTATTCTGCACCCGCCAAGACCCGTCCTTCTCGACTATACTTCATTCTTACTCTGTTCATTCTGTATTGAGGAGCATTGACTCTTTTGCTTGTCACTTACCTAGGTAGCTATGAGACATATTGGTGAGTCCAGTACTCAACTGACCCAGTCTGTCTTAAATGCCCCCAGAAGGAGCTCTCAGGGGGGTATTTACTGTGGAGTATCAACTCCATACTATCGCCAGCCCAGAGGATATCAAATGATTACAGATATCATATACAGAATACAGATCAAACACTCTACACAAACAACTGACCTATACATTTCATATGTACAAGAGCCAAGAACTGGGCCATTCAGCTGGACACATACATGTCTTTGTTAGAAATCGTTTGGATATAGGTCTCCAAATATAGCATTGCAAGGGTGGCCTCCAATTAGAGGTCACTCACGGTCAAAGAGACCTCAGTACTATACAATTTTATCAAAGAAGATATACACCATACTATCATAGTAGTATGGACTTCAAACATCAAGGAAGAAGCCAAGCCTTTAGTCAGCGCATCTGACCGCCCGCCTACGCCCGCCTACGCCCGCAATGCCCCTCTTGTCGCAACATCCCTCCATCGTCATCGTGAACTGAGCAGTTTTCCAACCCATTTTCACCATGACTGCCAAAATCCCAAGAAACTTTCGCCTCCTGGAGGAGCTGGAAAAGGGCGAGAAGGGCCTTGGTGCAGGTACGATTGTGTCTCACGATCTCCGACAATGTCCGAATTCAGACTGACGTATCTCTTCTTCAGAGGCCTGCTCATACGGTCTCGCTGATGGTGAGGACATGATGATGAGCAACTGGAATGGCACTATTCTCGGACCTCCCCATGTGAGTCTCTTTTCAAATCGCCGTTGTGAACTCCGCTAATCCCCCCGTCAGAGCGTGCACGAGAACCGCATATACAGCGTGAACATCCACTGCGGACCCGAGTACCCCGATATTCCTCCCACCGTTCAATTCGTCTCCCGGGTCAACCTTCCCTGTGTTGACCCAAGCTCCGGCAAGGTAGGAGAAACAATGACCCAGACACACGACCATTGATTGACTGTTCAATAGGTCGACCCCACAAAGTTCCCAACCCTGGCAACCTGGAAGCGCGACTACACCATGGAGACTGTTTTGATCGAATTGAGAAGGTAAGCATCCCTGGCAGTATACAAAGTGGTCCGTATTGACTGGTCTCCAGGAACATGGCCTTGCCTCAGCACAAGAAGCTGCCCCAGCCCGAGGAGGGCTCATCGTTCTAAAAATCGCTTGAAGCATCTATGACCCCACATAGTATACAGGCAGAGACACATCTCGGAGTATCAGGGTCGGCTTCATTTTGGGTTTCCTTGCTTTCTTTTCCTCTTTTCCAACCCTAGAGCGTGTACAGTCTGCATGAATGCATCGGCAGGGTTTCCTTCAAGTTTCAAATTTCTATCTCTATCTCACAATTGAGTGTTCATCTCTTATGTGTTGTTCTGTGAGCATTGCGGCAGGCGTCTGTTTTCCAATAACAAATGATCTTCTTCTACAGACTTTGTAAGTCCAAGCCAATAGTAGTTTGTTTGTAGGGTGTGGCCTACTCAAGATCGGATGAGTGGATCCATCTTAGCGTGCGTTGCGGCGACTGTGAGCTGGGTAGATACACCGGTCTGTTGGTCTTCGATATCACATGAGCACGGGCACATCAGATATGGCTGTCAAGGATACACATCAGAAATCGTCGAGCATTGCGGTTTCCCGAGGGTCGTTGTTGGTGAGTGAACAAGTGAGAAAGCATCGATGTTTGACCTACGGCTCGGCCCGGTTACCGTTTTGCTCCCACGGGTTGAGCGCGTACTATGTAGTTGGCTCGACATCTCATTACGGTTGGCTTGAAGTGAGCGTCGAGGGTTATGGAATACTAATATAGTGTAGTGAGGTGGAGGAAGATAAGTCTCATGCAGACAGCACAAGATTCGGGCGCGGCAGAGACGTCAGATGGACAACACTTCAAGATAGATGGATGAGGCGCAGAAGTGTTTTCGAAATACAGGACTACTTGACTCTTCTCCAAGCGCGCGGACAAGCCGCACGGGTGATGAAAAGGGTTTGCGTCGACCGGGAGTAGTGTAAGCCCAGTGACACTGTGCCCCAAGACATGTGCAAGCACAGAGGTCAAGGAGCGAGGTCCAAAAATGAGAATAATCAAAAATGTTTCCCGGAGGAAACTTTCAGAGATTAAACTGAAAAGAACAGATACTACACTTGATCTAAGCCAATAGGCAAAGAGAGCTAAAGAAGAAAGAAAAGAGAGGAAGGGCGGATTGGGGGTGGCTGTATTTATATCTCGGGGAAAGACGCTAGCCATTAGCGTGGAATACGCGAGCCAATCAGAGCCATGGGTCATTCTGCACCTGACACTTGCCCAGTTCCAACCTTGTAACCTTGGAAGGTTGTACATAATCGGTATCAACACATGACTATCTATCTTCACGTGATTTCCCAGGCATCCAAGGTAAGGCATCAACACTTTTGGACTCTCCATCACCAGCGGAATGCATAAAGTCTTGGTGCCCAAGCAATCTGGAGCGCATCGTGTGGCCTGTAAGGCAACTTGTGTCTCTATCATATCGCCTGCTGACTGATCATTCCAGGCTTGTCGCTGTACCGAGCACTTCTCCAACAATGTCGCTCTTCCAGCGAGACCCCATGGCTAGCTGAGACTGAGAATCTAGTTCGGCGCAACTTCCGGAAGTACAAGGCTTTACAGAGTCCATCACAGACTGTCAATGCTCTGAAGGCAGGCTATGAGGTGTGTTACGACCACTTATCGAATCGGACCTTGTATTGATGTCTTATCGTTGCTCTATAGGCTCTGGACCTTATACATTCATCGCGCACCAACCCAGTCGATCGAAACAGGATCACCCACATGATTTCCCATGCTCAAAAGAAGAGAGACAGATATGCCCAATTGCAAAAGCAAGTTCGGCAACTAGCGCCGCCTCCAGCACCTCTCACACCTAGAGCGGCTCGAAAAGCAGAGTCAATTCGCTTCCAGAACGAAACCTCCCGACGACACCCCGATGCCAAATCAGTCCTGGATCGGCCGCGGCCATTGGGGGAGGGGAAAAAGCGACACATCCCCGTCCTGGTGAACGCCCGGGGGCTTCCATTCCTGCGATTCAAAAAGCCGCAGCCAAGAAATGTCAGCGGCGTAATACGAGCGAAGCTCGCCAATCGCTGGAATTGGATTCAACGTCGAGACGGGCTGCAAGTAGACTTGCTTTTCGCGCAGGACGAAGAGGCTTGGGATCGCATGACCGGGACCAAGGACTCTGGTGCTTGGCCTGAAGACATTCAAATTGCCATTGAGGATGCCAAAACCAAAATCAACCAGTTCGACATGAAAACAAAGGATCTTGCGGACAAGATGTGGAAGGTCGTCCTGGCTGAAAAAGCCCTGGCAGGGGCAGAGGAAAAAGCCCGGGCAGAGGCAGAGGAAAAGGCGAAACAGCCAGAGCAGTGAAGCCGATCCATATACCGCTATCATCCTAATATGGCATCTGATGTGATGCCATTGCTCATCTCAAGGTCCAATTTGGACCCTGGCGACCAGCCCGTGATCGATGATCTTTTCGCAGGATCAGTTTGTCGAGTACAACCTACGGCCTTGGAGTGATTTGAAGCACCGCTTATGCGCTTTGTGGGTTGAGACGGTCTCTCATTACAGGCTGACACATACAGGCCTCAAATGAGTGTGTGGTCATTTATCATACAGAGTCGACCCGCCTTGATTTTTGGACTCTGGCAGCCTCAGCATATACCACCATCTTGGGAAGACTCCCTCGATGCGACATTGTATAGTATAGCAAGTTCCATGTGGACTATGCACATGTATATTACTTTACCCCCACCAAATGGAATCATCTAATTCATACACTTGCGATCATTGCAGTGCAATAAGATGTCAATATTTGCATGAAGTAATGGTAGGTCATAAAACATATATAGGAATCGACTCATGCGGCCACTTTGAGCTTTTCAACGGCAGGCATGTTATCATCATCGTCCTCGTCATAATCGCCCTTGGCCAGACCCTTCTCCCACAGTTGTCGGCCTGTGAGTTTCTTCTCGTCTTTAGCAGTCTTCTTCTTTTTGTCTTCAAGTTCCTTTTCCTCGCGTAGCCGTGTCTCCTCCTCCTCCATCTCCTTTTTGAACTTCGCACTCCATTCCAGGAATGACTGCACAGTGACTGCGGTACCGTGGAATTTGCGGTTCTCTTCCTCCTCTCTGGCGGCAGCAGCCTGGTCCTTCTCAGCTTGAATGGCCTCTGCCCGCTCGGTCATGAGTTGCTCGGCACTTTCTTTCAAGGCGCTGACTAGTGTGAATACCATGGCCATACCCATGTTCTCTTCAATGGTGGGCTGGAGAGCCTGCAGGAGTTGGTCCCGATCTTCCTGGACGTCTAGTCGAGGATGCCTTGGGGCATTGGGTGGGGAAGTAATGTTGAGATTTGGGCCCACATCAGGGTATTCTTCTGGGTAGGAGACTTCAAGGCAAATCACAGGCTGTTCTTCTTCCTCTTCACCATACTCCAGAACGTCGAGGGTGATGGAGACTCTGTATGAGGTTTCGGATATGTCTAACATTTTCGCCGTTAGCAGGGATCCGAGACAAGACTGTGCCTGCACTGGGCACTATCTGTTACATACCTGTGATTTCATCGGGAAAGATTGAATCGAGCACCTCGCGCTCTTCAATTTGGTCTTCGCGACCCATAGCTGCTGATCCGCCGGCGGATTGGAGGGGTCAGGGTCAAGGAGGGGGTGATGGCCTTTGGCAAACACTGCGCAAATGCGATAGACGACGAGTAAGAGAATGAGTTGAGCAAGATCTGACAAGATTGTAATAGAAGTGTGTAGTAACCCAGCCAGAGATGCAAAGTGCCTCTGCGGTCCCACATGCAAACCCGTCAAACAGCCACTTACAATTTTTTGGGCTGCGGAGCTTCACCTTTTTTTTTTTCTTTTCAAGATACCCAGCTATACAACAGCTATACAATTGTTGATTTTATACTATCTTACTACTGAATATTTCTGATCCTATTTGGGAATGGGAAAGCCCAGACCGCAAAAGAAGAAATCATCCAAGCCCCGCGAAAAGTCCGTCCTAGGCCCCGGTGGCTCAATCTCTAAAGGCAACATGGCCCAAGATCCTTCAAAACTCCTTGATCAAGCGACGATCCTTTTACAGACTGGCCGAACCGAAGAAGCGCTGGTGATCGCACAGCAGGCCCTCGATTTGTCCGCTGAAAACACCCCCGCACAGCTCCCCGCCATCAATTTACTCGGAGAAATTCACGTTGAACTCGGTGACATCGATGCAGCCAGAACCTTCTTCCTGCAAGCGGTTCAACTCGATCAGAATGGCTCCATTCCCGAGTCCGAGGGCGGAGGTGCGGAGAAATTCCTCTGGCTCGCACAGTTGAGCGAGGAAGGTGGAAAGGATAGTGTTCTGTGGTTTGAAATGGGTGTGGCGTCTCTCCGACAGTCCATCCAGGGACTTGAAGGGAAAACTTCCGCGGACGAAGTTGCGGACATTGCGCAGAAGAAGATCAAGCTGTCCAATGCTCTCTGTGCTGTTGCCGAGATTTATATGACCGATCTTTCGTGAGTCTATCCTCCACTACAGTCCAAACGTGAACTAACCAGTTCTGTAGTTGGGAAGACGATGCCGAAGCTAGATGCGACGCACTCATTACAGAAGCTCTTGCTGCGACACCCGACGCACCAGAGGTACTGCAGACCCTCGCCTCCATTCGGATATCACAACTGCGCACCGAGGATGCACAAGCAGCACTCACCCGCAGCATGGGACTGTGGAAGGATCTTACTCCTGGAGATGTCCGAGTGCCTGACTTCGCGATTCGCATCAGTCTTGCCCGACTGCTGATGGAGGTGACTTTGGAATTCGAGGCTCTGGAAGTTCTCGAGCGCCTGATTCTCGAAGACGACCAGTCCGTGGAGGCATGGTATCTTGGAGGTTGGTGTCTCTTCCTGCTCGCCGAGAAGCAGCAGGCACCCAAGGACGCGACTCCCGAGGAACTGACGGAGTCTCCCCGGCATGCATCCCTCGAGGCTAGTCGTGAGTGGCTCAAGCAAGCTTTGAAGCTGTATGGATTGTTGGAGTACGAAGATGAGCGTCTGCGCGATCATGCCTTGGAGCTTGTTCAGGAAATGAACAAGGAAATTGGCGAGGATGAGGAGAGTGAGGCTGAGGCCGAGGGCGAAGGCGAAGGCGACGACGAGGAGTGGGAAATTGAGGCCGACTCGGATGATGAGATGGCGGACTCTTAGATACCACTTGTCACGACCCCATGAGATGATGTACATGCTCTTTTATTCTTTTTGACTTGATACCATTGAAAAGTAGATTCTGTTTTTCTGTTTCTGGTTTCATTGTTCTCTGTATTTAGGGATTTGCTCTTTGACATTTTCTTTCCCAAAGACGAGATCACCTTCGAACACACCTGAACATATTCATATATTCATTTCTTCATCTATTCATCCCTCTACACCCATCTATACTTCAAGATCTATACTCACGACGATATCGCCACTCGGGGTCGGATTATATTGTCTCCGGGCCATACAGTCGAGATTTTGCCAGCGCAGCTTCACAACTTGTCTTCGTGGCTGGCGTCTCAACTCCTGCAACATGGATTTGAAACCAGCCCCAAGCGGAGAGGATTCGTTGAAATCCCCCGTGGTTGAAGTGGAGGCTGTGGAGGCGGACGCTGTGGACATGGCCAACGCGGATCTCGCAGTAGATGCGATGTTCTCCGACCTGGAATCGGACAGCGAGGACTCCGACTGGGACAATTTGTCCAACTGCGACGATGCGATTCAGATTCTGCGCGACGACCAGATTCGTGACGGACTCGGTAAATCCCCTCCCTTTACCCCGGATCCCCGCTCTCGGAGATCGCGATGGGCTAACGCGGGATCTAGTCCCCGGCGCCTGTACTTTAGAGGAGGCGACGACCTATCGACAACGGTTACATGCGATCGGCAAGGCAGCCTTTGTGGAGGAAACCATCGTGCGCGAAACCGTCACGGCCAAAAAGCTTTGTACCGCGTTTGGGATCGTGCCCCCGGCATTCCTGGACGGCGCCCCCGATGAGGCCTATCACTCCCTCCTGGCGATCGCGATCTCGCGCGAGTTCTCTCGTCGGCCCAAGCTGCCCGAATATAACACAGTCGACGATGCGGTGCGACTCCTTCGCGAGTCTCGGAACATCATCGTCTTGACGGGCGCGGGGGTAAGCACCTCGGTCAACCCGATATACTTCGTGTTGGGTCTCCTTTGGTTTGCCGGTAGACTGACCTGGTCCTGATACAGATCTCGACGAGCCTGGGAATTCCCGATTTCCGTTCCAAAGATACCGGTCTATACTCTAAGCTCGAACATTTGGGTCTCAGCGATCCTCAGGAAGTATTTGATATTCAGGTTTTCCGGGAAGACCCTAGCATTTTCTTCTCTATCGCGAAGGATATCCTTCCCACGGAAAAGAAATGGTCGCCTACGCATGGATTTATCCGATTGCTTCAGGACAAGGGAAAGCTGTTGACCAACTATACCCAGAATATCGATAATATCGAAGGCAACGCAGGTGTACTCCCTGAAAAGATGGTTCAGTGTCATGGATCTTTTGCAACCGCCACCTGTGTCAAATGTCAACACAAGGTCAACGGGGATGCGATTTTTGACGAAATCAAAGAGGGAAATATTCCCGAGTGTACCGTATGCAAGGAAAGGATTGTCGAGGAAGCGTTACAACCGCAAGGGCTCAAGCGCAAACGCAGTTCCAATGGACAGCAGAAAGACCGGAAGGTCTCTGACAGTTCCGATGAGGATGACTATGAGATTCCTACTCCTGGCGTGATGAAGGTTGGTCTCTCCCTCTCCTGTTGTCGTTCATCCTCCATACTCACACTCATAGCCCGATATCACCTTCTTTGGCGAAGACCTCCCCGATGCCTTTGGCCAACGTCTCATTCACCATGACCGGGAATTAGTCGATCTGGTCATTGTCATCGGGACCTCGTTGAAGGTGGCCCCTGTGGCCGAAGTCCCCGGGGTCCTCCCCCGCCATATCCCGCAGATCTACATCTCGCGAACTGTAAGTGTCTTGTTGTCTTTGGGCTGTGTGAGATTTCTAATGGATCCTAGCCGGTGTCTCATACCGAGTTCGATATTGATCTCTTGGGGGATTGTGATGTGGTGGTATCTGAGCTTTGTCGCCGGGCAGGATGGGATCTGCAGCATCATATGATTCCTGCGGATGAGAAGGTGAATGTGAGCACAGTGGAAGGGTATGAATCACGACATATTTTTAAAGTAGCATAGGGACTCCAGGACGGTCAGGGGAGTTGTCTCAGGCGTAATTGTTCTAAAGTTGTGATATCCTGTGTTTTATATATCAGATTGTATCTTATGAGAATATGATCTTGGAATATCTTATAACTATAAATATGTTCAGTACTAAGTTGAGTAGAGTCGAAGTACTTATACTGTTAATATTTAATACTTAATACTAAGTAGTGGAGTGTATAACTCACCCGAAATATCCAAGAGAAAAAAAAAAAAAAACACCCCCCCCCCCGCCACTCAATGAAACCGCCACCAAATTAAGAGCCCAACACTACACAAAACC